ATAAAGATGCTTTTCTAGCATCTTGACTCAGTGTAAATTATATTTTGAAAATCGTTTTGACTCATATACTTTAAGTGTACATACTAAATGGCGACAATGACATATGCATCACGCGAGGATGGATGATGACCATGTACTTTACATCTGCACGTTGTCAATATCTATATCGCCGGTTGATGTCTCATGTTCCCAAAATAATTATAGTAATAATGTTCAAAAACAGAATATGATGTGTATTGTTGTCTTGCATCACTATAGGAGTAATAATTTGATTAGAAACCCGGGATTAGAAAAACTCTCCGAATCTAAATAATATATTTGAAATCGAAGAATACAATGCCCCGGGTACAATGCCCCGTGTATTCACCATTTACTCTCAATCCTTATTATCTATCAATGTCTCCAGTGAGTTTGCTTCTGTGTGCCTCTCCAAGTAACAAATCTAAATGCATATTCTACTTATATCGCCCAATGTGGGCCCGAAACGTGAAAAACAGACGTTGACTTCGACAGTGCAAAGGGGGGGGGACTATAATGTAGCAACTTTTGGTTTTGTCAAATAGCTGAAATAGTTTGTCACAAATATTAATTAAATACGCAAATAGAGGCAGGTTTAAGAAATGAGACTAGAGGCAAAGAATAATTATAATCATAAAATCTAAAGTAATTCCTCCATGATCTCTTCTGTAATCAAGGTGGTTTTGGTACACTTCCGCAGTTATAAAAACAAAGACATACAGACTAAGTAATTAATCTTTTGTTATCATTTAATATTAGTTACTTACAGCATTAATTTGTCTTGGATTTCCAAGGTATGATGTTTTGATTGAAAATCAAACTGGGAAACGAGTATGCTCCTTACAGCTGTGTATCAAATCCTGTGAAAAGAATCAATTCAAACTCACTAACCCCCCCCCCCATCTAGTATCTCTTAATTACAATTATTTCGCAAATGAAACAACCCAAAAACGTTGATATGTCAACATAATTTTGCAGAACTGAGCGAAACGAAAGGTGGAATGCACAAAAGGCAACAGTTGAAGTTTTATTTTCCCAATAGACTAGATGCAAAGAAATACATGTGATCTTGATTTACATCCAAAATCCCAAATTGAGATCATATTTCATATTCTTATTTACATTAATACTTTCATGTAGTGTCAAATATTTAAACCCTGGGCTTTTAAACATTTTGCATATTCGTCATCAAATCTGATCATATATGTACCCCCCCCCCCATCTGCAATCATGATAGAAATCTGACTTCCGGTCTCAAAACTGAAAAATAAAATTATCGATACCCTTACCAATTGACCAACCAACTGAACCACCCCCGGGGAACCACCTACCCATCGATTGACTAATCAAACAAACTACAAAACATCCAAGCAACCAACTTTCAAAGGAAGCGACCAACTTTGCAATCACCAGTCAACAGAACGCAAGAAACTGACCAAGCAAAAACAAAGCAAGCAACCAATTAAGTGTGCAACCATATAAGCAACAAACAAAGCGAGGAACCAAGCAAGCAGCTAATTAAGTAACTATACATGCAAATACACGTAAGCAAGCAAATGAACAACAAAAATCCAAGCAATCAAGCAGAAACCAAACAAGCAAGCAACTAAACAAGCTTCCAAGTAATCATCAAGCAACTAGCCCAGCAACGAACCACACAAGTAATCAACAAAGCAAGCAATCAATCAAACGACCATCCAAGCAGAAAACTAAGTAAGCAAACAACAAACCATGCTACTAATTAACAAAGCCACCGACCAATTAAGGAAGCAAGCTACTCATCAAGCAGAAAACAAAGCATTCGACAAACCAAGCAACCAAACAACATAGCAACCAACCAAGCAACTAATTGATCCGGTCTCGTTTGCTGTTTATGTCTTGCAAATAATGCCCCTCTGCTGCTACAGTTTGTCAATGATATCAACTGCACACATTTGATTGATTTAATGCAACTTCCAAGTTCCAAATGAAGCACGAAGGTTGACATTTGAGAACATAACTGATACCAAAAGGATGCGTGGAGACAAAGCTACATTTTCTAATTCTATATTTCTTACTGGGTAATACTTTTCAGGGTTACTAAAGAGAGAATCAGATCTACCGAGCAAGCCAAAACGTTTCAATATGTCTGGCTTATATCACTCATTACCATGTCTAAAATTCTCCAAAGTATCTTTATATGCAATACATAATATACCCTACAACCAAGCTCCGCATTCTAGCACTCGGATAGTTGGTTGATTGACAATATTGACTTACACGATATGTAATGGCTAAACTGAAGTGACGATCAACTCCCCTATCCCAGGTGCCCCAAATGTACTACATGTAGATCCATGGGCATTCGATAGATATTATTGAAAGTCCATGCTAGATCTTAAATACACATTTTTTGGTAAATTAGATCCACTTGCTTCCCACATCAGATTTCTATTAATCACTCATTTCTTGAAACGGTCCTATTTCAATTCTTTCCGGCCTAGGGAAAACCTTTTAAGATGAATATATGAAACTGTTTTGCTCTTACACATATCAATTTTAGATCCAAGGTACAGAAAAGCCAGTCGACGTTTTTTCGAAGAGGTAGAACTGTACTGTATATCCAAAACCCGGATCTAAAACAATGTCTTATTGTTATTAATTTATTGTCCAGTTCTACCTTTGATATTAATGCCAAATTCTGTTGTTTGTTAGCAACATGATGAGGATTGATTTCTATTCTATATGGCAGGTTACTTTGATTTTAAAGGCCTATGGTAATATTTTTACATCAAATTTTAGTTGTTTATCTGTGATATCTAAAATGAGGAATTAAAAATAGTACTTCAAAAAACATAATGCATAGACTGCAATCAAGGCCCGGAATCGAGGCGTATTGATATAATATTATTGTCCTTCGTAATAAAACCCATATTGAGTCCCTACCAGTAAATAAAATAACCACTATATATTTGCAAAATATGGCCGCCATAGAATATTTGGGAGTCTAGGCAAGATACATGTACCATGTTAATGATCATTCAGCACTGTACAAACGCGTACTATCCCATTCTTTCATCATCAATCCCTTAATTGATTTATAATAGTGAGCTTAAACCAGATTTAATCATCTCCTTCAGACTTATACAAATCCTGACTCAGAGTACGTAAAGGATTGGTACACTGTGTGCATATCATGTGTATCCTGGCGTCAGGATGCATACATGATTCGCGCACAGCGAGCCTATCCTGTGTGAATCTTGACTCAGGATACGTACAGGATAAGCACACTGTGCATATCCTGTATGAATCTAGGCTTCAGGATTCATACAGGATTGGCACACTGCGAGCGTATCCTGTATGAATCCAGGAGGCAGGATTCATACTGGATTCCTACACGCGCCAATCCTGTATAAATCCTGATACAGGATATGTTCAGGATATGCATACAGTGTGCCAATCCTGTATGTATCCATCTGTCAGGATTCATACAGGATTCGCTCACAGCGAGCATGTCCTGTATGAATCTTGACTCAGGATACGTACAGGATTGGCACACTGCGTGCATATCCTGTATGAATCCAGACGTCAGGATTCATACAGGATTGGCACACTGCGAGCGTATCCTGTATGAATCTTGACTCAGGATACGTACAGGATTGGCACACTGCGTGCATATCCTGTATGAATCCAGGCGTCAGGATTCATACAGGATTGGCACACTGCGAGCGTATCCTGTATGAATCTTGACTCAGGATACGTACAGGATTGGCACACCGTGTGCCAATCCTGTATGTATCCAGGCATCAGGATTCATACAGGTTTGGCACACTGGGTGCATATCCTGTATGAATCCTGATGACAGGATTCATTGTATTCATACGCATTTTTTGCTGTGATATAGACGACAATCATCAATCGGCATGGCTTAATTTCAGAACCTTTTCTCCGAACCACGTTAGCAATATTTTTTTTAGAAAATATGGAGACAGTGCAAGTAGCTTAACTCTGTATTTGGCACATCACGGCGTACTCGTTAGTGAATTAATGTTAATTTTAAGTTAATCAGAATTGAGTATTTCAATTGAGGTACTAACAACACAAAATGACTGATACCTGTTGTCTTTCCAAAATTATATTAGTTGTTTGTAAGCAATTTCCATACGGTAAATCAAGGGCATTTAATTTAGAAAATGTATAATCTTTATTTTTCAGATACAATATCAATGAGATTGCCTCAAACCTGTCCCAACCTGATTGTCCCGACCTGTAAACAGAACATAAAACAGTTTCTCTTGTTGTTCAATGATACATTATATTGGTGTTTTTGCATCAGCACATTGGTGTTGTTGTATCATCGATAAGAAACAGAGTGGTGTTGTTGCATCAATAGTGAGGAATTAAAACCACGAATTTATCGCTTCTTGATGATGCTACATGTATACCAATGACAGTTTTTTAAAATATAGATCATGCGCTAACTGCATGTGTATGATTATTGAGCAACTCGTCCTAGAAATGGGTGTAAATTGGGAAAACAAAACATCGTACGAAAATCTATCACCGGAAGTCTGGCCATCTTGATGCAACAACACGGTGTTGTTGCATCACGATACCCCCCAGTGGTATAGACGACGATCTATAAGAAAATATCACAACTGCGGACATATAGAGCTAAAACGTTGTCGGTCTTTAATATTTTTGGCTGGACAAGTGCATAATGTCGTTATGTTTTTACCCAATATTAGCATTAGACTCATCGTCATCGTTTTTTTTATTACTTACCTTATGCCGTGGTCACATTTGCTCCGAGTTTTACAACGGCACCCGGCCGATTGAGTATTTTGTTCAAAATTGTATTCAATTTTGAACAAAATACTCATCGGCCGGGCGCCGGTGCTGAAAATCGGAGCTAATGCGACCACGGGATTAGCCTCTGCTTGTATTGTTTGTTGGCTATATTGTATAATTTTTGAAAACAAGGCGTCATCTTCACTTAATAGGAGAAGATTAATACCTTAATAGAAGAAAATGCTGACATGGACGATTTGGATGAAGTGATCAGAATATCGACTGGAATTATCAAAGACTTGAGACTTCTGAAAAATAGTAAAGTCGTCAAATTAGAAGAAATCCTGGTCAGAGATATCCTGAGCAATTTCCTTTATATGAGCAACCTTCCATACTTTAGCAGTGCATTTGAAGGTATTATAGTAGGATTCTTATCTTAAATATTAATTAAAGAAGACGTGGATAAAATGGTCGACTTTGTGTCAAAAGACTTAGTAGCTTGTATGTATCGAAACATTTGCAGTAATATTCTATACACATGACGTTTCAAATCTCAACGCAAGCTTTAAAACCTAATGTTCCAATAATGTCATATTGTTCTTACAAGATGTAGAAGGAGGGGCTGCATTATCAGAAGGCCTTGCGCAAACATTGGAAAGACTATTAGTTATCGCCTCTGAATCACTGATGCTTGACTTACGAAGGGTCCAGATCGCATCGGGGAATTCTACAGCTGTTAAAAGATGGGGAGGGGTAGCTTCCCTCCTTACAATATATCTTAAGGTATGTCAACTTACAATATAATACGCTTTGTATTCATTAATGATGTAATCATTTCAATGGCAAGTTGAATCTCCATGAACGAACGAACCATCCAGAATACAGCGTTGGACACTGTTTTAGTTATTCATACTACTATAATATATATTGTATGACAACATTTTTCGATTGCTCATGATCTCAGTAAGCCTGAAAGTTTATACTTGTCGGGATTTTTAATCAGACAATTTGTCAACAGTTCTAGAGTCGTTTCCGTTCTTCTGAATTGATAATATACTTCGTAAATTCCGATAATTAAACACAATTTATATATTGAGAAATTATTTAATACGTTTCTGTTAATTAAGGTAAAAACAGATAGTTACGGAAGTGAAAGAACAGATCAGATTAGATTGACACTCGAGACATTGGGTGATCATGCATTGAAGGCAAAGAAAGCAATTCTCAAACTGCAAAGTAAAAAGAGTGAAACAAGTTTACAGGGCAAACGATCCCTTAAGAAGTCCATTAAGAAACTGAGTAGTTTTCTCAAGAAAAACAAAGGTATGGCTTGATCATTAGTTTGGGATACAAATTGATTGTATAAGACACTTGTTTTAATAGAGGTTTCGATGTCAACGAGTTTTAGGTAGTATCACTTGTTCACAGTAGGATAAACAAGGCACAGTACGTGAACGAGATCACACCATCAAATAGGCAGACACTATGAACCAGGAAAACTATTATGTTTACAAATTACAAGAACAAGAAAACAAGATGGCCGCCCAAAAGTTAATCAGCTTTAGTACTTTATATCCTCTATCATTTGTGTAAATTTGAAGGAAATCCGATGAGCGGTTTTCCTGAAATGGCGATGACAAGATTTTTCGAAAAACCTTCAAAATGGCCACCAGAAAACAAGATGGCCGTCCAAAAGTTAATCAGCTCTAGTACTTGATATCCTCTATCATGTGTGTAAATTTGAAGGAAATCTGATGAGCGGTTTTCCTGAAATGGCGATGACAAGATTTTTCGAAAAACCTTCAAAATGGCCACCAGAAAACAAGATGGCCGCATAAAGGTTTATCAGCTCTAGTACTTGATATCCTCTATCATGTGTGTAAATTTGAAGGAAATCCGATGAGCGGATTTTCTGAAATGGCGATGACAACATGGCTGCCAGAAAACAAGATGGCCGCCTAAAAGTTAATCAGCTCTAGTACTTGATATCCTCTATCATTTGTGTAAATTTGAAGGAAATCCGATGAGCGGTTTTCCTGAAATGGCGATGACAAGATTTTTCGAAAAACCTTCAAAATGGCCGCCAGAAAACAAGATGGCCACCCAAAAGTTAATCAGCTCTAGTACTTCATATGCTCTATCATCTCTGCGAATTTGGAGAAAATCTGATGAGCAGTTTTCCTTAAACGGTGATGACAGAAAGCGGGACGATCACGATCACGACCACGATCACGATCACGACCACGATCACGACCAGTATGACAACTATATCCCACCGATGGTGTGATAAAAACTAAAGCTAGTACCATACAAAATTGTGAACACATTTTATTTGCTATATACGTATACTCTCTTGTTTTCAGCTAAACTACGTTAACTCTTGTGAATGTGAATTGTAAAATATCTCCAAAATTGGAGGATTCTAAATACTAAGAATAGTAATGATTTCGTTTCAAAGAGTAATGCCTGGGTCACATATGCTCCGATCCATCGGCCGGCGCCCGCCCGATTGAGTGTTTTGTTCACTATTGTATTCAATTTTGAACAAAATACTCAATCGGCCGGGCGCCGTAGTGAAAATCGGAGCATATGTGACCAAGGCATTATGAACCTTAAAATATACAGGGCGTTCAGTAAGTAAAGCTAATTTTGCTCTCAAACTTTTATTTCTTGTCTATCATCGTTCAAATTTCCAGTGGAGAAGCATCAGCCACATTTCTAACTATCATGAAAAAATGATCAAGATATAATGAATAACAGCAATATGGTGGTTGTCATAGTAACGCAAATACGGGTTCTGCGGAGCAATTTTATAAGTTCACAGCATAGTAGATTTTTAACGTTAGTTTCTATCCTGTCTATAGTTCAACCATATGTAATGTCCGGGGCTAAGGCCGTGGGTGGCGAGATATAGGATGACAGAAAACCAAAGTTAAAATGTATAAAAAGTATATTTCAAATAAACAAACACAGTGTTCTCTGTACAATCTCAAAGCAACTACTGAGGCTGGGCCAACACCCAAACTCAAGTGAGTGAGTGTGTTCCATATATGGAAGCGACACAATACAAAACAACATTGAACATACAACATGAAAAGCTAAAAACTGGTTTGAAACAAAAGAAAGTGAAAAGGCAAGGCATGGAAAACAAGAGGATTAAAACATTTGGCACTGATACAATAGTAACCTAGGGACCTGTTATATTGATAATAAGTGAAATATAAAGGATTGATCAATATGAAAAGTGAGAAATATGCAAGTATGAAAATGGCCATGTTACATAGTTCTGTGGCTACTCCACATTTCTACTTTCAAGTTAGCATTCTATTTCATGTTCAAAGTAGTTCCCCTTAGCTTTCACACACAGCTGATGTCGTTCTATCCACTTCTGATGTATCCTGTGTAAGCCATCTGGAAAGTTCTTTGTCAGCGAATGTTGAACGGCATTCTGAAGCTCATGGATATTTGCGTGGATCTTACCACGCAGATGATTTTTCAAACATGAAAATACCCCAAAATCGCACGGAGCCTTGTCAGGAAATACGCTGACTGGCCTTGAACCTCCATCTCCAGCGTTTTCTGGATTTCCCTAGCAACACATTGTATCTGATGCTACTTCTCAATTGTTGTTTCATTTCATTGTTCATTTTGCTTCCATTGGCAATCCTGGTAGCCATGATTTTGATGATGTCATGGAGCAGTGTCTGATGGATCATTCTGGATCATTCCATCTGTTGTATCATCTGTCATAGACTACTGTTGCCATGGTATCATATTTGTGTATGTTGTTGTTATGTTTGTCGTGACTTTCAGCCATAGCAAACAAAGACATATGCAGCATTAATCTTAATCAATTTCATTGTATTATAACAATTTTTATTAAAGTAAGAAATTGCTCCGCAGAACCCGTATTTATGTTACTATGGCAACCATTGTTTTGCTATTATTCATCATATCTTATTTAATTGTTCAGGGTAGTTAGAAAAATGTCGAATGCTTCTTCACTGAAAATTTGAAAGATAAATGACAAAAAACAAAAGTTTGAGAGCAAAATTAGTTTTACTTACTGAACGCCCTTTACAATATAAATGTACAATGACCTTAAATGATTTTTCAGCATTAGTAATGAAATTAAGGCATTCTAATTGTATAATTTATTTGTAAATAGTAGCAGTCACAGTGCCACCGCTGATCGACATTACAGGGTTTATCGATTCAGTACAAGGTGGTTTTGGTGGTGCTGGTATAGGCGGGATAGTTGCGGGTAATAAAGTAACCCCACCACCAATATTAATTGAAACAATACCTCCGACTCCACCTGTCCATGCAAGGATTGAAGAAGGTCATATTGTTGCAGATCCTACAGGTAGGGATCTAGATAAGCTATTTGATTAAAGCAGATGATTGTTCGACTGAAATACGAGTAACTGGTGTACAAACAATCCAGTTGTAATTTTAATTGTTATCACGTGTTTTGATTAATCAAATCAAGTATCATTTTGTCTTTGTTTCAGAATCATTGCCAACTTTGAATGAATTCTACAACTTCAAATCCGTAATAGTCAGCAAAGTTTTAAACATCACGGATACGTGTAGCGTCACATTAGAGTCTGACGGTTGTATAATTTCTGCCAAACCTACTCCCGACAACTGCCTCACCGTTAAAGTAATGATTCAACAAGTATTGAATACCATCAGTGGTATTGCAGAATCTCTTCAGATTGGTTCTTTTGGTGATGACATTCCCCTAGACATGTCGGATTTAGTGGTCAAATATTTTGACGTCAATGTCTGTGACGAAACCATGTTACTCTCCATATCTTTATTTGCCGATCGAGAAATGACACTTATCCCCTCTATTTTGAGTATTACTGATATTGAAATCGAGCTCGCCATTTTCATCCCAACACACGCTCTAACGGTTTCGTTTAGTGCTGTTTGGGATTTGGGTGGTGTTTCATTTTTGGCTCAGGTGGACTTCGATGGCGGAGAATATGAAATTACTGCAAGTCCTCTTGTTTCTGAGGTATCCCTTGCAACATTATTAGGAAGTATCGCATCGGCAGTTGTACCCGGAGGTTCAACAAGTGCATCGTCTCTTTTCAATACCCTTAACTTTAATGATGTTATAATAAGTGATATGAACCTTGTCTCAAAATTCAAGGATGTCGGTATGGGTTCTCAATTCTCTTTCTCAGCCACTGTACCAACGCTGGGTAGAGCAAACTTCATGCTTAATATCAACAGATTGAGGAACGGGAATACCATCGATAATGGCTTTTCACTGGCTGCCCATTTGACCGACCTGAAACTCTCAACAATAATTCAACATATTGCAAATTATGATATTTCGAGCGTTCCTTTGATTGGTAGTCTAGAATTTCCAGAGGTAGCAGTTATAGGGGCTTCTAAAGATATCCCCTTCCTTATAGTTGATTTTAACATTGAGTCTGAAATCCTGTCGTTATCACCATCAGTGACTGAGGGTATCAGTTTGTTGTTCAATGCAAGATTTGACGCTAATTCAGTCCCGATGAATTTCATGGTTACATACACTCCCCCTAAGTCAATTGGATTTAAAATTCTACCAGGACCTCAGCTAGACATTGAGAGTATTCTAAATAAACTTCTTGATTCAATCAGTCTTGAACTTCCACCTGGTTTTCCTTTGGCATCCTTTCTCAATGAGGGCCTCTCAAATATAGACTACGATGGTAAACTAAATAAATTGACTTTACCAGTACCGCTTGAAGATGACATCATCATAGTTGAGGATGTATTTGAATTAAGAGAACCTCAGGTCGAGTTTGTAATAGGTTTAGGCAATCCCAAGACATTAAGCTTTGAGGCAAGTGGTACTTGGTTGATACGAGATTACCCCATGGATTTGACCATCGAAAAACCATCAGGATCCTCTGTCTTTTTAGCATCTGCCTGTTCTGAAAGAGAACTTGAAGTAGGGAAGGTATTGGCACAGTTAGCTTCGTCATTTCTCCCCGATTTTGTTGGAGATATGTTTGAAACCTTCTCAATTGATAATCCATGTATTGAAGTTTTAATGGGCAATACATTTGGGTCAAGAGTTTCTGGTAGTGCAGTAATTGGTAACTTTGATGCTTCTAAAGTGGAAATAATAGGCGGCAGAGTAAGCGGTGCTATGGTAATGGCCCTTGGGATAGTACTTCAGAAGACAAAACTCAGCAGTGTCATAGATAAACTCACAAAGGGTGAAGTTGACATAACTGCCATGCCTGGTAACAAAATATTTGATGAAAGCTCCATAGGTCTAGTTATGTCCACCCAACAAATACCAACCAAAGGGAGGAGTGAATTGAAGTTTAAACTTGAAATGTTAAGTTCTACGACCACATTGAAAGGAGTGTCGTTTGTTGTCAATATTAAACTACCAGCTTCTGCTGATTGTTCTGGGGATTTCCTCTGTCTAGTTTTCAACAAGTTGTTGCCTGGACTCTCATTGAATATGAAGGGTCGTCTTGCAATTAACGACCTTCTACTTGAGGTAACAATTCCTAGAGAAATAGAGTTTGTTCCAGGTTTCAAACTATCAGATTTAGGATTTAGAGTCATAGTGAAACCACCTAAGATCGAGGTTGCCCTTATAGCCAGCCTGGTAATAGATGACCCGGCGCTTCGTTTTACTGGTGCTATAGGTTTTTCTACAACTGGGGGTGCCACATTAGAGATGGCAATGATAGGGTGTTGGGCTAAACCATTTGCAATTCCGGTAATGACAATTTGTGATCTATTCATTAGGATAGGCGTAGTGCCAGAGCCTACGGTCGTTTCAGAATTACACCTAGGAGGACGAGCACAAATAGGTCTGATCGATAATGGCAATGCAAAACTTTTTAATGCAACCTTATTTATTGGACTTAACAAAATTGTACCATCAGAGAGTTATTTCTTAGGACAGATTTCAAAACTAACTATTCCTGAGATATTAGCTGCATTTGCCTATTATCCAAGTCTCCCAGCGGCTTTGGATGAAATTGGCTTCCCTGATGGTCTCGACACATCTTATTCACAATTTGGTAAGACTTTGCCAAATGGTATAGCAATTCCAAGTGGGTTTAGGTTCAATGGCACCATACAAATTATTGGCTTTAGAGTGAGTAGTACAATGAGAATGGACCTTAATGGTATATTCATATTTCTGACAGTAGATAGGTTTAACATTGGCAATGATCTCATCAGTGTTGATGGTGATGGTAAATCTGGCCCTGAGTTGTTAGTTGACGTAGGATGGAACCCGAAGCCCCGAGCGAAGATTGATATCCAGGGAAAGGTTTGCGTGCTTAAAATATGTAGATCGGTGAATATAACGATAGGTCATCAAGGAATGCATTTTGAAATTAGTGGGAAATTCTTAGAACCTTTTGACGCACAACTCTCTCTTACTGCAACTTATGCGACATTAGCTTCTTCGGAGTTTAAAGTATCGGGTTACTTTGAACAAGTCCTTTTGGAAACTCTGAAGACAAAGGTGACTGACGCTATAGACAACCTCAATGATGCTGCAACAGCAGCATTTGATGCAGCTAACGGTGAACTTGAGTCAGCTAAAGAGACCTTAGAAAATGCTGCAGAAGATCTTCGGGATAAAAAAGCAGTGGTAAAAACACCTGTTCTTACTAATGTGCTTATACGAGGGTTGTCCCAGAAGTAATGCACTATATGCCCTCACTTTATCAATAATTGATATTTTTTCCATGAAATTTTCAGTAAATGTTCCTTAGAGACATTTTGATTATTCTACAAATTTTAATGTTGACTGATAAAACTATATTGATGTTATAATAAAATCAAGTTGGAAAGTTCGGGTAGGGTGGGGCAGGTTATGAAGTCACGTCAAAAGGGATAAAACATTGATAATATAAAATAATTAATCAACAAATACCATTTTGTGTAGCTATAAGCTATAAGAAGCATGCTCAAAAATACATTTTAAGATACTAAATATTACTAGGAGCACATCCTAGATTTAATGGATGTATATTGCACAGTGTCCCATTTCACATTTTCTCAAAATATTGCTCTTTGCATGTTATGTACTTTTGATGCCTGTCAGGTCAAACACTCTTGGCAATTTCTTCCACTGTGACTTGTGGAGTTTTTGCCTCTCATGTTTGGAGTTGTCATCCAGGGTCAAGTCATCTCTTTTAAATCTCTTCTGCCACCTCATAATTGAAATTCTATTCGGTATATACTTTCTTCGTGGTAGCATATGTTTTGCATGGCTGTGAGTCCTAGTGAAGTATGACATTAGGCCACCAAACACAAGGCCTTCTGTTATCAGGTGAGAATTGCAGCCATTTTTGCAATTTCTTGACTGTGACTGTATTTGAATTTGTGACTATTGAACTGTGGTATTATGACATCATGATGCTAAATGTCATTATTTGTACTTGCTTAACATCATGCTGAATAAATTTAACAATTTCCCAAACATTTTGATCATTTAAAAGAAAGAAATATTAATAAAATAACACTTTGGATCTTTTCATAATTAGAAAAATTGGTACCTGCCCCGCCCACCCATACCCTCATGTTGCTATAGCAACCATTATATTAAGACTTACTATAAGTATTTGATGCTGAAACTTCGGGATATAATAGATTAAACTTCAATCGTAAAGAAAATTTCAGCTGAATATTAAAGAAAGTTAGAGCATATAGTGCATTATTTCTGGGACAACCCTCGTATAATGGTACTACTTCGATGCTAAAAATAACAATTAAATAATATGGTATACTATGCGCCTACGTCCAAGTTTGACAGCTATGATAGGCTCAGACACGATAATCGCTCTTGTGTGTCAGTATCAGGATGTATTGAAAAAGTTAACTGTATCGATGAACATTTTTTCGAGGACTCCTCTGCCGAAGGCAGCGCGAAGTAGGAGCGTAGCGACTACTTTGCGGGAGACCTCGAACCATTGATCACGTTTGCTCCTGTAATTATTCACTTCTTCACCTCTTTAAAATGTGATTACAATCAGTTGATCAAATGTTCGGACTTTGACCTCAAATTCAAATATGAATATTTATAAGAAAAAATACTGACTCATTGATATATTTTTAAAAGTCTTTTAAATAAAGTGAAATGAAGCCAAAATCAGCTAAAATTATGCAATGTCGTAAAATGGCGTGACTGGAATATGATGCAATCACCCGTGACGTCAGACACGTATTGCCACATCAACAACTAAACAAACAATTAATATAGACTTCACTGATTGGTTTAAAGATTCTTCGCATCATTTGTGACGTCATTAACATGTTACCCAACCAACAACTAAACAAATAACAAATAGGCATATAGGTTCGTTCAGTGCCACGCTCTTGAATCAGTTATAAACAGGGATAATCAACAGATATGAGAGGGTCAGGCATTTTTTTGACTTGGAGACCTCGACTCGAGGAGTTTGCTGCATTTTCTTGTTTGAAAGAACAATTAATGGATCAACTTGTGTTCCTAAACATTTATTGGGCAAACAAACTTGATCACTTTATCATTTGATACAATACTATTTTAGGTTGACGGGATTCGAGCCTCAATTGATGACAAAGCCGAAGAAATTAATGATCAGAAACAGAAGGTGGCCGATTTAGAGAAGGCATGGGAAGAAAAGGTGCAAGATGCCAGAGACAAGGTTGAGAAATTGAATGATGCTAAGGAGGAGATCACAAACATAGAAAATCAGATCAAGAGTATAGAAAACAGTTGTCCAAGTGGATGTTCTACAAGTGGCAAGAAGCTGAGTAAGCATCTATTTTATCAAATTAGTTTACAAAGCGCAAAATTACCAAATATAGTCACAACTACATTCTTAAGACAAGGTGAAATGACAACAAGGTTCCTTCAACTTTGTCAAAATAGAAGACCAAGTGGCATAACTTATTAGTCACATATATGTATTTATTTACGGATAAATAGATACAAAAGAATTCATCGGAGAACTATATGTTTTACACAAAGCAATTAACTATGAGTCGTGATTGAATAACAGCGATATATCGCTAAAATGTTCTGAAAATTGATGTTTAACACTGTGGAATGTCAAATAGGACATTTGAATACACGTTGAGTATTCTACATACGAACATGTCCATGCCTACATTCAGTGTTAAACGAGTTCCGATCACATTTAAAAAAAGACAATTATATATATCTTCTTATCGGGCGTGTGATATTTTATGATATCGTATGTATTTGATTTTATCATAAACTTCATTAACATGTTTGATAACTTACGCCTCTAGCAAATGCTCTTGTCTTTACGAATATGATCACATTCACCGTTTTATGGACTATATAGTGCGGATATTTACTTTTTAAAATCGGCTTAGTCTTAGTACCAAATAAGTAAGCGACATCCTATTGCAGGTACATTCCAAACGCCAAATGGCGATAACTATCGCCATACACCGATAGATGTCAGTAGGAAAACGTCAATTAAGTTCAATGTGATGGCGTGCAACGATGCTCACGTTATACTATTAAAAAACCCTGGGGAAGCAATCGCTGATAATTATCAAATCGTTATCCATGGTTGGGCAGGGAATCCTAAGTCGGTTATTCGAGATGCAAACAACGAGGTTACTAGTTCCCAAGGTGCTCGGTTGAGCTGCTCCGAGATGAGGCAGTTTTGGGTAATGTTCAATTGTTAAATATAGTCATCAGTTTTTGTTGTTGTTAAAACAACTTGGTCAGTGCTGCTTATTGTAACGGAGCATGCAATTGTTAACAGCACGAATACTTTGTTATTTTTACATTTATTCAGTGATAAATGGTGGTGACACTTGTTCTGCTTAGATACGATAGTCTTCTGAGATCTTAGCGGACTCCAACGATGTTATATAATGATGTTCTCAAAACACACTCTTGAGTATTAATAATATTATTAAACTCTCGCATGGTTATTGTATTAGGCAACCGTGTTTATGAAGAAAATATGCTCCATTTTAATAAAATTGCATATCCTAAAATTACGATAAAATACTTTTCCAAAGATCCGGTCAGGGTTGCAAGTTTACATTCGTCTTTGCCTCTTGTATCATTCTGTTCCAAAAAATCATTCTTATTATTCATATTACAAAACCTTTCATCATACAGGCGCATTACCACAGTTTATATTTTGATATTGCAATAGATAAAGGTTCCTAATGTATCCGTACTTTCCAAAGAAATTCTTAATGCAAAACAGCTTCATAAGATTTTAATTAAATATGAAGGTAAGCTGGGCGAACGGAAATATCCAAGTAGGAGAAGGACTTGAGATTGGGGAGAACACGTTCCTAAGCTATCGAGATCCAACTCCGCAGTCTATTAATGCACTCAATTTTGTGACCGGCTGGGGTGCGTCTGGCACATGGGAGCTGATTGAAGATGTCGGTAAGTAAGGCAGAGAAGGCTCAATTATAATTACACATTATATAAACTAATGGATCAACAAATTCATTTATTCAAATAATGAACATAACAGTACGCCGTGCTACTATCACAAAATACATTAAGAGGATGTTGCTGTTGAAATTGATATAATGAATGAACAATTGCTTTACAGATACATACCAAACGCCAGATGATTCGAATTATCGACATTCACCGATAGATGTCGAAGGGAAAACGTTCATCAGGTTCAATGTGATGGCCTGCCATGATGCGCACTTACTTCTACAAAAGACACCTGGTGATACAAGCAATGATCTTTATCAAATCGTTATCCATGGTTGGTCATGGAATCCTAAATCGGTTATAAGAGACATTACTGGCACTGCTGTAGCTACTTCTACGGGTTCCGTTTTCAGTTGCAACGAGATGAGGCCATTCTGGGTAATATATCAATCTTTCACAATATGGGGTAACAGGCATGACATGGAATGTCATGGGCAAGAATATAGCAAAATAGTAACAAATTGTTTCGAACTTGTCTCTCTGTTGCACCTTTAAGGTTAAATTACAAACATGCAAACGTGTGACTCAAACAACCATCTTTATACCAACGATACAAACTTCTTTTTAATTCTAAAGTACTTATAAATTCTTAAAGGTGAGTTGGGCCAATAGGAAAATTCAAGTTAGACACGGACAGGCGGTTGGAGAGTCAATTTTTCTCACTTGGCAAGATCCAACTCCACACGCTGTTAATGCTATCAATTTTATAACCGGCTGGGGAGCGTCTGGGACATGGGAACTTATCGTGGATAGTTTACCTCCGAATCAAGGTAGCTAATATGCATTAATTAACTTACTATAATATAATATCATCGATATACGTTTTATAATGAGAAAATACTGGCGTTGTTATGGAAACGACACAATAGCTGTGAGTATTGGTCCAAATGTAAACCAATCAAATCAGTTATCAAACGCATGTCATGAAATCATGAGTTCCTAATATTGACTCAGTGTTTTGACGCAAAGAATATATGTCTACTTACCAGATGTAACAAGATATGTACAAAGGAACCGGAATGTTATAATAAGTTCAAATATGGCGCCGTTTCATTTATCCGCATTTGTTTAGCAAGTGGTTACTAGTGAAAGTTGATTTTAAATATTAGTGAAAACAGGTGGCACCAAAGGTGTTACTCCTACATGTATCATAATGATAGCTATATAAGTTATCCTGATCTGAAAATGAAAACTAAATACTACATGCTTATTAATTGATCAACTTACAGGAACATTCCAAACTCCAAATGATGAGAGCTATCGTCATCCACCGATAATTGTCAATGGAAATACAGTCATAAAATTCAATGTCAAGGCCTGCAATGATGCTCATTTACTTCTACAAAAGACACCCGGGGATACAAACAATGAACTTTATCACATCGTTATCCATGGTTGGGCAGGGAATCCTAAATCGGTAATACGAGATGGCATGCATGGCTCAGAGGTAGCTACCTCTGCAGGTTCTGTTTTGAGCTGCTCTGAGATGAGGCAATTCTGGGTAACGTTAAACATTATATTTTCAAATGATCAGAAGCAGAATTAAAATACGCCACATGCCTTGTAGCATAATCTACAATAATTCATCAATATATATTTTCAAAACACATGTAGGTAAGTTGGGAAAATGGATTCATCAAAGTTGGAAAAGGACACATATATGGCCAAAATATGTTTATGTTTTGGCAAGATCCAACTCCACACGCTGTCAATGCTATCAATTTTATGACCGGCTGGGGTGCGACTGGTTCATTGGAACTTATTGACATCACTACTACTTCTCCTGGTGTTATTGGTAAGAAAAAATACATTTATCTCTAATTAGAATATTTCTGATTAGTTCAATTCATTATTTTCAATTTTAAAAGCAATTTCAAATATTTCATAAAACGTGTTTATTCGAAATATCGTTAAATTTCATGTTATGAATTAATCAACTTACAGGAACATTCCAAACTCCAAATCAAAAGAGCTATCGTCATCCACCGATAGATGTCAATGGAAATACAGTTATAAAATTCAATGTCAAGGCCTGCAATGATGCTCATTTACTTTTACAAAAGACACCTGGGGATACAAACAATGATCTTTATCAAATCGTTATCCATGGTTGGGCAGGGAATCCTAAATCGGCAATACGAGATGGCATGGATGGCTCAGAAGTAGCTTCCTATGCAGGTTCTGTTTTGAGCTGCTCTGAGATGAGGCAATTCTGGGTAACGTTAAACATTATATTTTCAAATGAAGCAGAATTGAAATATGCCACATGCCTTGTAGAATAATCTACAATAATTCATCAATGTACATTTCCAAACATTTAGGTAAGTTGGGAAAATGGATTCATCAAAGTTGGAAAAGGACACATATATGGCCAAAATATGCTTATGTTTTGGCAAGATCCAACTCCACACGCTGTAAATGTTATCAATTTTATGACCGGCTGGGGAGCGACTGGTTCATGGGAACTCATTGACATCACTACTTCTACTCCTGATGTTATTGGTGAGAAAAAATACATTTATCTGTTAATAGAATATTTCTGATTAGTTCAATTCATTATTTTCAATTTTTAAAGCAACCTCAAATAGTTCATAAAACTTTTTTTTCAAAATATAAATAATTCTGTAACAACATTCATCATAGTAAACTGGCTATAGTATTTGATAAATTATAGCTAAGTATTGTGCTTACTTAGAAAGATTATTTATTGTTTATTTTCAGGAACATTCCAAACCCCAAATGATGCGGAGTATCGCCACCCGCCAATAGATGTCAGTGGAAATGATGTCGTCAGGTTTAATGTGAAGGCCTGTAACGATGCTCATTTACTTCTACAAAAGACACCTGGGGATACAAACAATGATTACTATACAATCGTTATCATGGTTGGGCAGGGGATCCTAAGTCGGTTATTCGAGAGGGTACCTCAGAGAAAGTTTCTTCAAAAGGTTCTGTTGTAAGCTGTTCTGAGATGAGGCCATTCTGGGTAACGTTAGAACCTATATATCTAAAAAGAAACAGTATACATTTTTGAGCTAAGCAATGCTTCTTGTCATTTAAATGTGTTACGACAATACATCAATGAAATTTATTTTACATGTAGGTAAGTTGGGAAAATGGATTAATCAAAGTTGGAAAGGGGCATATATACAATACAAATACGTTCCTTTCTTGGCAAGATCCAACCCCATATGATGTGAAGGCGATCAACTTTATGACTGGATGGGGTGCATCCGGTACATGGAATCTTATTGACATTACTACCACCAGTCGTGCTATTTTTGGTAAGGAATATATATATATACATGTATACACTGTTGCTCATAAATATGGAATATTAGATTTGGCAGCTCAGAATTCAAATTTTGGAGTAAGAAAACATTTATTTGGAGTCGGTTCAGACATTTATTTTCTAGGCAAATCATAACCACATATTTCATCTACAAATCAACATTTTTTAGACAAAAAATATTCACATTTAAGTTTAGGAAATTACTGTTATTTAATCAGGGGTACACTAAGAATTTCTTTTGCATTTTCAAAACACCCCGATCGAAATCTTCATGTAAAACAGATCAAACAAAATAAACATCTGGTCATGAAGATTGAAGTGTCCTCTATCCAATGATAGCACCAATATGCGTTATGTCCTCTTTGTGCTGCAATCAGAGCATCAACCCTACGGGACCAGCATTGAATGAACCATCTGACCTTTCTAAGTAAAATAAGGCCCCATTCCTCAATCTGAGCAGTTCGTAATGTGTCGCGAATCTCATTACCAAGGTCGTCTCACATTTGCTCTGCATTGGCCTAATTGGCTGACTTTTGTGCCCATGGTAGCTGGTCCACATTGTCTGCCCTGATGAAATCCAACACAATGCCACTAGCATGTGCAACAGCATGTTCATTCTGCAGTTTAATGTTGCCCCAAAAGACTCCGTTTACATATGGTACTTGATGGAGGTCCAAAAGGTCAATTTACTCTGAAATTATGTTTGGGAATCACCAAGGGTGTGCAACTTCTGTAGTACTGCTCCAAACAACCCCTGTAATACTGCTCCGAACATAAATAGGGTCGGCTTCGTGGACTGCCAAATCAGTAAGTGTCCTTATTGTCTCTTTCCCCTGGTCTACGACAAAAACGAACACAATTATCAACTTTGTGGAGGACACATTTTATTTCTTCACATACTGTTCATTCATCTCGTAGACTACTGTTTGACTTAAAGCGATTTTGATTACATAAAGGCAGCATGTGGTGGTCTTTTATTACATTTTTCTCTCTAGGGCTACTATTGCTATGACCTGGAGTCACATTCCAGTGCCTTTGGTACCACTGCAGAATTTTAGAGACTGTTCCTGACACACCCCTGGGGTCCTGGCAATGGTAGTTTGTTTCATGCCAGAGAGCACCATCCCTATGACCTGCCATGCTCTTCTTCGCTTATCTTATGGGGCGTGCCTTTTAAAAACTCTTCCAATTTTAAATTATTTTTTTATAAAATGTGCACAATGGTTACAGCTAAGATTTGGACACCTCTTTCAAGTTACCAATATCATGAGGTCATGGGGTCACCTGCGTGAATAGAAGTTTAATCAACCATAAATTTTTAACTTTTCAAACCAATCAGTTTTATATGCAAAACTGATGAGGGAATGAGAACACATTACAATTTTTCATCAAAATGTTCTCATTTTGTAGAAAGTCCATCGAACAGTTCGTATCTATAATATTCCATATTTATGAGCAACAGTGTTTATCAGTATAACACACGTTCATGTAAAGATGACTTGATATGAAAAAGGTATTTAGTAAAATGTTAAAACATTATTTCTGAGAATTTAGTTTACAAAATAAAGTATTTTCCCGATACATATATATAATCCTTTTTCTGAAATATTAAATACAAGATTTTCTTTTTTCAATTGGTTCTCATCGGGTTTTTGAGAGAACGTTATCACCAATCAATTACTATTATGTAACAATACAAATAAGACATACCGAAATTAAAATAGTTTTAAATATGTCTCGGATTACAACAGTACTTTCTAATTACATATTATATGTTTTAGGAAAGAGAAAACGCAGTATACAATCAACATACAAACGAAGATATCTTAAAGGTAGACATTATTAAGCTAAAAATAAAAACATACGATGGGAAACCACAGTATCAATACCAACATAATCGGGACTGAATAAGTGTTACATATGGATTTTAGTGTCAGTTCATCATGATAAACCATGACATCTCATTTCTTCTCAGCCCTGAGATGCCATGATATAATGAGCTTGATTTGGCGATCCAAGGGAGCCTTAAATTGATGATTTTGACATATTCCATCCCAGCTCATATTTCATCTAATAAGTGTTATAAAACTTGTGTACCTGTGCCTGTTCTAATATCTGCTGTTAAATACAATGCCTATTATGTAATGTATTGACATTGAGGTAAATTATTACATGATAAGTATCACACTTCCTGACAGTTATAACATTTCCCATCTGATGTGCTCAGATCACAGATACATACTTTTGAAAGTTGTTCGGTTTGAAACATGCAGTTGGACTGTCCGAGAGAGTCGACATATAAGCATGTATTCTAGAACACTATCTGAATATAATCTAGCATGATTTGTTTATAGATCCTCTGCAGAGGTTCCAACTCGGTCGCAAAGCTTCTAAAAGTTTTCTTCGTTCCCATACAAATCGAGTCATTGGAGGGATATTAAGTAAGTGTCCCTTATTACATGCATTATCTTGTTAAAAAAACATTAGGCTTTATTTCAAATATATTCTCTTTAAACAATGTAGAGCTTAAAATGTACAAAAGTGCTTAACATGTATAAAAATGCTCTTCAATGGCTGTCTACATTTGTGAATTCAATATATCATCTCAAATCAGGTATCATATTTTGAACAAGCATGCAAAGTTTAAGATGTCGAGTTTTTCTGTTACTGTGATTTCCACACTCTTAAATCAGCTAACAGAAGGAAAAGAGGATGGAGTCCCGGTGAGACAGCTGAAGAAATTGAAGAAGGAAAGGAAGATATTAGTTGGGAAAGAGGGAGAGAAGCAGGAGTTGAAAAAGGACGAGAGGCTACAGAAGGTACTAACGAGGCTACTGTGGAAAGGGGGAGAGAGGCTGCGGAGAATACTCGGGAAAACGTTGAGAGTGGAAGAGAAGTTGCTGCGGAAAAGGCAAGAGAAGCTACAGAGAGAGCGAAAGAGGTTGCTGCAGAAAGGGTTAGAGAAGCTGCCGTGATTGAAAGGGCAAGAGAGGTTTTGGTTGAAAGAGCAAAAGAAGCAGCGGAGGGAGTCAGAGAAGTGGCCCTTGAGAAGGCAAGGGAAGTTCAATGCACAGCGAAAGAAGTTGCAAGAGAGGCTTGCCTGGTACCATTGCAGGTAGATATTTCTGTTTTAAAATGGCAGCGTCGAGTAACAAAATATTAGACGGGTTCACTCAGTTTACTTAGGATGGGGGGCATTGCGTCGTTTATTTCCCGATTTTAGTCATAAATAACGTCAATTTAGCGTGTATACCTTGGATAAACGTTGTTATTCCCGGAAGCTCAAACGTACCAGGAGCACAAAGGTACTCGAATTATCTGGATTTAATATTATCACGGTGCCCATGTCAAGCTGCGCGCCTACTTAGGCGCGCAGTTTGTTTCAATCACAAACTGCGTGCCTAACAACATTGCATCATTTAAGTTGGAGTCTGTATTTTGAAACGTAATTTAAAGACATTTATCCTGCATTGTTTTCTTGTTCAAAGCGTTCATTCTGTGGCGAATGTACGAATCTTGCAAATACTAGCAAAAACTATGTGCAAATGAATCTAGGTTTTAAAACATAAGCAGATTAATGGTATTTTCGTCACTGATTTAACGGGAATTTATACTTAAATCGATCTAGCACTTTAAACATAAATGACAAATTCTTTAGACTCGTTTTATATTTAATTCCTTGCGCATTTATCATGTATAATTCAAAACATTTCGAGATAAAACAGATAATCAGGAGATTAAAAAGAAATAAACCACAAACTGCGCGCCTATTTTAGCCAGAAATTACAAACTGTGCGCATACACTATTAAAACTACATATTATCATTGGAATTTCTACAGAGGCACGTGTAGGTGTTTTTCATATAGCTTTGGAAATTTTGTATTATCGTCAGATTTTATGAGATTTTCTTATTGAAAGTCAAAATGTGTAACAGAAGTGACAATTAAGTTGGGAACGAAAGAATCTTTTATTTGCAGATCACCATCTTGGTGGATGGACTGTCATAGCGTTTCAATTATGGGGTTCTACTATTAGACACATATGTGCCTTACATATGGCGCTTACGTTTTCTAATAATACAAAACAAGCTTGGATAGGCAAGTTTGGAAATATTAGGCACGCAGTTTGGGAAATACATGTGAATATAGGCGCGCAGTTTGACAAGAAAAATGTTTAAATCACGTTTATGGCGTATTATCGTTTTGAACACAAACTATGCTGCTTTAATCAGATGGAGTGATCCTATATATTCTAGCATACAGACACAATGGCTGAATAAACGGCAAATGACGATAAAAAGACATAGATATAGAGGTTCTTATATGGGTACCTGTGCAAGATCGTCCATTCTTGATGAGCTTTGATAATTCTTCTTTATCGAGTCGAATACGAGATAAAGAAACATGATCAAAGCGAGTCAAGAATGGACGATATTGCACAGGTACGAGTACAAGAAAGTTTTTCTCATATGACTCAGTATTATGCCAAATTTTCACCATTTTATCATAAAACTGAGTAAAATTGCTTCAAATTAATTGAACTTCATCTTTCAATTGTTATGACGTCATAACAATATTGAAGAAAATACGTAGATACATGTGGCAACAAAGCTCCATTGTTATGACGTCACAACTTAGTTTTGTAGAATTAGCATGGATACGCATAACAACGCTGTACCCGTTGCCATGTTGTTGATGTTTATAGACCGGTGATGTCACAAGTAAATCTTTTTAGGATGAAAGATGGCAATATCTTGCATGGGGTAAAGATGGCTGTATCTTTGTTAGTCATATGAGAAATAACTTTACACTGTAAATTTTGAACACAGAAGTTACTTAAGACCCTTATATTGAGATAACTAGGTTTACATCGGGAAAAACATTGAGTACTATGAGTAAATTAAGTTCATCTTCACAGAATGGCACTATCTTTAGAACGAGACTAACCTTGTATTTTTCGTATTTTGGCTCTTTTTGGGAGTCGTGTCCTCCCTGTCTTCCATTTTGAAATATGCGCGCAGTTTGTCAGAGTTCCAAACTGCGTGCCTAGTAGGCACGCTGCTTGACATGGGCATCGTGATTATGCTGCAGAGAAGTAGTAAATTAACCGAGTGGCTCCATAAAAAAACAAAAACGATTATGGGCCACTTTAAATGTAAGATTTCGATTTCTTAATTTTCCAGGCACTGAAGTCCACATTAAATGGTTTGAAATCGAGTCTTTCTGGTCTACAAGCTGCTGCCGATGCCGCACTCAAGGTCGCCGAGGACAATAACGTATTAGTAGATGCTGCTAAAGTAGTATTAACAGGTCTCGAACAAGCATTGGAAGGACTCAAAGTCACAATGGAAGGAGCTAAGGCAGCGATGGATGCTGCTGCCTTGGTAGTTGAGAACTCACAGTACGTAGACGCAAAAAAACTTGAACACTATCTTTGCAACACGAAAATCACTTTGATAAGTTAATATCCGACACACATATAGCATAACGTATTCTATAAAGGTATTTAAATATTTTCAGAACCGCGGTGTCTGGAGCCCAAACAGCTTTGGATGGTGTCAATGAGGCGCATAGAACTGGCTTGAAGACTGCCTCCTTTCTCACCCGATTCACACTCGGTGATATCATAAACATCAAAGAATTAAAATTTGATGTTTTGCTTGCGGTAGCAGACACTGGAGAATTTGGTGGAACCATAGTTGTGTCATTCCTTGGTGGTTCGGACGAAACATTCTCGATCCAAATAACAGTGTATTCTGTGGAGGACATGGTGAAGATACTCCTCGACCAAGTGAAAGATCGTCTTAACCTGTTACCATAATTTGTGAATATAATTTAACCAATAATCATTATTCGGAGTACTTTTGATGCTGCAAATGTTATTGTTGTTCGTTTCCAGTCATATTTTTCTTGTAAAATACTCTAATTTTGATTAAGGATGAACTTTTAATCATTTTCAAGAAACTAATGTTTAGAATTTATACTGCTGATTATAAACTCATTCCTTATTTGACATCACGTGTTTCAATACCATCTCGGCTCTAGGATTGGAATCTCAGCATACGGCATATAACATAAAGACATTTGCTAGAATTTTATTCTAAACATAATTTTAGCTTTCTGGCACTCTCTATCTTTTAAAGCAGGATAATTTGTAAATTGTTTAGTAAGTAGAAATCACAATTTTGATTGAGCTAAACCTCATTAAAATACTGAAATACCCCAAGTTGTATTTGACAATTGGTCAGGAACGATGTAGGAAAGACACTACACTATGCTACAAGAAAACAGCACAAACGATCCCAAAACTGATCCCAATCTGATGCACATTACTTTTAGTTTACAGTTTGCATATTTGTTTATTCATCAATTATATCAATGTTTAGTGTACAGGCAACTGACACCCATACGGGTGTATATAGTTACATATGATTATATTACATAATTGTATTAATCAAGATGGCAAGATGTTTTTAAAAGATAGAAAGTTAGGAGAAAGGTAATAGAAGAGAACATAATATACCAGGTCGTTCAATAAGTTCACGGAAAATTTCAAAACTTTTTGATATTTTCTCATGAAATTTTCACACAATGTATAAAAGATACTTTCTGATTGATTCATAAAATATCATATCTTATTTTATTGGTCAAAAATAAGAATAAGGGCTACTATCATGGTAAATTGACGTTTGGGTAGGTGGGGCACTTTTTACGTCACATTATTCATTAGAAAAAAATAGAATAGTAGGCAATTTGTGAGTATATCACACGAATTTATTCTCCGCTATCTACTTGTACATGATATTACTTAATGTAATAGTTCAAACTATTGTCCAATAAGGACAAGAAATACACTTTAGAAATACACTCCCTCATGTTTAATGCACAGTTACTTGCATTCAATTCATTGATGATACAGTGCTCTGAAACCTTCTGAAAAACTCGTCGTCAGGAGAGTATGTAACTTAGGGCAACTTTGCCATCTATTTTGCCAGTTATTTATGACGGTTTTTGCACAATATTAGCATCCCGAAGGGAAAATTTAGAGTTTGGCTGAATGGTTAAGTTTTAATCAACTTAGCATAGCATTACTCTTTTTTGATTTTCTGTCTAACTGGTACAGCAATGACTAGCAGGATTTCAGAAATGTTCTTGAAAACAATGAACATCAATTTAAGCGATAAATACAGATAAACACAAGTTAATAATGTTCAACATTTACAATTTATTAAAATTGTATTGGTTAAATACCATGGCTTATTTGTATTTATCCAGTCAAATGAATTTTGCTCCAATTATCAACACATTTCATATATTCATTTCTATTGTACTATTCTTATGTATGTAAAGCAAATCCTTTTCAATTTCGTTCCATTGACATACAATTCAATGATGAATAGTGCCACGTGCGATGCATATAGTGCGCATATCTCCAGGGTTCAGTTTGATATATGAAGATTGGTACAATTTATGAATAAACAATTTGTTCAAAGAGTTAGATATTATTTATAAAATGACACTTAATCCTGATTTCAACTTCTTACTTTGCCACTTGGCCCTTTCCATTTTGAAATTTCGGCCGTCTACCATGAGTCTAAATCTATGGAGTGTTAATCTTTGCAATATATCAACATCTGCAAAATAGTCTTTCTAAGTAGGTTGTATTCTTCAATGGACCTAGTGATTCTTGCTTTCCTTTCTCATTTACATAAAGATATAATTCATTCGATATGACTCTGCAATATTTTAGATAATAACTGACATGTATACCAAACAAATATTAAAATTAATTAAATGCACGCTCATCAGAATTTTCTTTGACAAAGAACCATACAACAATACTGCAGCATCCAGGTGTAGCCATGGTGAATAAATGTAAACAATCCACACACATTAACACCAAATACAAAAGCAAAACTTGTTAATAAAAATCTAAAAAATTAAATGAAATGACTAATCAATTTTGTTGACCTTGGCAAATATATATTTCATCATTTATTTTTTTTATATAAATCCGGTAGTGATATCAATAATAGTATTTGTTCCAAAGATACTTTGAAATGACAGGTACGTAAAATACTTCATTTTAATTAAGGCATAGCATCGTTAAAATACATCAAATTAATTATCAATGAATGAATTTAAATGTTTAGGTTCTAAAACTATGAATTAAATGCACCAAGATGAAAAATGAAACGCTTTGTAATTTTGTTCTTCATATTTGTAATTTATAATTTCAAGAAACAATAATAAGACCCATACGTCTTTTGCTTATTATGTTTCCAAATTGGAATGAACAGAACTACAATTACGCCTCATATAGTCCATAGTATGACTGGTATGGTATGGAATATTGAGAATCCGTAACACATTATAGAGCAGTAATATTTAAACCAATATTTAAGGAGGTCGATATATCTTGAAGTTTTCAAAATACAGTTTAGTGAAAAAACGTCGGGTTTTTTGGTCGAAATATGTCGAAATATAGAACGTAAATAGTTTCATTTGATTTTTTTACATATTTTATAAGCCCAAAACTTTGCAATTGATCTTAGCATATTTGTAGTAAATTGAATTATCATTTGAATGTTAATTATTATTTTAATGTAGATCATTAGTTAGTTAGTGCGATAATATATGTGCGATTCTAGTTTTTGTTCATTTTTTCAAATATCAAGCAGATTTAATATAATTATGTGAATTATTTAATACGTTAATACGTCTAATATTAGGGTTTTACTATTTGATAATTCTAGATTTCATTCCTATCATCGCTAGGAGTCAAAAGAAAAATAATTGTCTATGTTTTATAGACGTCCTGTTAAGTCATCAAAAATATCAAAATGAGAAATGTGACCTATTTACCTAGTATTTACCTGATTGAATCATGATTTTCGTTCTTGTTGATGCTGATTTATTATTGAGCTTTGTCAAATCCCTTAATTCGTACTATGTGTTCGACCACCAAATGTGTTTTATATTGCCTCAAGAACGTATGTGCCTTTTGACTTATCAGATCATATTAGGACCTCATTCTGACACCGGACTCCCGGGCATTTATGAAACATCATCTGGGGTCAGAGTAACGTACGTATGATTGGAAACATTTGACTGAAACAAAAAATCCTTGGATCCATATACATAATATTGAACGATAAGAAATAAAAACACTTCACTTGCAAATACGGTGCTGTCTTTTCTATCAATAGGTTATAACACCATTTTGCAATTTGCTGCTCTGATAACGTGGTCTGCAGTCCAGGAAAGCGTTGTCGAGGCAAATCTTCGTAAGTATCTTCTTCGTAGTCCTTTCCCTTTGGCTCTAGTGCTTATATATTCAAGTTATGTTCCAAGTCACAATTTATCTCAAAACAATTACATATAATTAAGTTCACGTTAAGCGAATAAGATAAGTGCAAGTTAATAAAAATGTATGTTACAATAGTTAAACAATAGTAAAGTTAATGGGGATAAATACTATACTAAAAAAGGATTACATTCCTTTTGGCAATTGCCTTTTTCGAAACATCGTTGCCTTTTGGGAATTGTATATTTCAATAATGAATTACATTGAATCCTGAATACTGTGATTCATCTGAGATGACTAATTATGCAGGAATCTACATTCTGTCGCTAATTTATTTACTTCAATACCAGATATCTACACTTCTGAAAAGAACTCTATTTAGCAACAATATCATATTGGGATGATTCTATCTATACCGTCAAATGTACAATATCCGAGTAAGAACCATTGTACCTATTTATATTATTTCAGAAAACGCAGTTTACGAATTTAAACCATTGATTATACAGACAGAGGCAGAGTTAGACGTGCTTCGTGACATTTATTATGACAAGATTTTAAAAGCGCCAAACAGAAGGCTCGACAAACTGAAAAGACAATTTACACGTCAAAATAATATCACGGGCCTTCTTATTCAGTATATAAGGGTAAGCATGCACGTGATAAATTGTTAAAGAAACTTTAAGCACAAAGCAGAGACAACCTTTTATTAACTTCTGTTCATGTTTTAGTGTTTTGCCTTGTTAATAGATATAACCTCTGTTACCATTTAGGTTCATGACGCAGCAAATACTCAATTGTTACATGTTTTTATTTGTGGAGATTTGTTTATAAAATCGTAAAAATGGTACGACGAGTTTATGTCATTAGACAAGTTATATTAATATAAGCAAAACGTATGCATTTGAAAAAATCAACATGAAATTGTTTTTTAGGATAAGGCGAATGCCTTCATTGAGGAAAACATTGGAAGAGAGGTATTTGGCGAGATATTCAGCATAACAACTGAAATTTATGACCGTCTGGAACAATTAAAAGCTAGTGAAGATGTTAAATCGGAAGAGGGTAAAGTCAAAGATGTATTTGATGATTTCTCAACCATAAAGATTCCCACGAACGGTAAATATTAAGATTATACTCGTATTTCGGGTTTTAAAGATAAACTGTTGGTGTTTAAAAAATGGGCCAATTAAACAAGAACTTTCTTAGAGGACGAACACATTCTAATATATCGTTACAATAAATTTGAAATCTATGTAAATACCTTTTACTGTTCATAGCTTTTTTCAGAAAGTACTTTGGTCCAAAACCCCGAGAAAACATTAGAAAGACTGTTGGCTATTAACGATGAGTCTCTTCTGTCCGACTTATTGCGGATCCAGATCTTCCTTAGCAATACCACCACAGTTAAAAGATGGGGCGCGGTAGTGTCTGTCCTGAGCAAATATTTGCAGGTACGATAATTCAGTATTCCGTTTTGACATATTTATTAATACTTTTGGTGGCATTTTTGAATCAGTGTAAATAACTCAAAAAGAATTTACGGCCCGTTGTGTACTAGGGAAAAAAGCTTTCAGTCAAGCTTGCAATTGAATGATTGGACATAACCAAGAACGTTGTGGTGGTAGTTAGTACGTTTTTTTCACAAAAATATGATTCTGTGTTTGTTTTATTGTACCACTTTTGTGCTTACCAACTTTTGCGTTGTATTGTATCTTGATTATCGCCATATTTGGCGAACAATACCTCATTGGTATATTCCGTATTTTACACTGGAAGACAAAGCCAGAAACCCCTCCCTGGAGGAGCCCCGCGTTCTTCATTGTACACCGGTATATAGACATACAAGTACACACCCCAGGCTTTAACGCAAGTCAAACATCCAAAATTACATAACACACAAACAAACGTGCCTTAACCCGGAATCGAACCCAGGGTCAAGCAATAGTGGTAACCTTGACTCTTTTAGTGGCTCGCTCTTCTATCGGTGTCATGATTGAAGTTTTGATGACCTACACCAAAATAACTGATTTACAAAAATACCCAGAAGCAGGTTAACAAAATGTATTTAAAGATTTACTATGAATTGTACAGCTTAAAGGGAAAGAGGGGTCAAGAAGGGACAGTACAAGACAAACCAGAAGAGACCTCAAGGCGCTTGGGGATTTGGCAAGTGAGGCAAACGAGGCCATTTCTAAACTCCAAAGTTCAGATAGAAAAGTACGTTTAGATGCCTTGCAAACGTTGGGGAAGAATATCAAAAAGTTAGCAGATTTCCACATGAGAAATAAAGGTATCGTTAGGTGTACTATAGTTTTATGTTCATTAAGAGACCGGGACATATGTTGGCAGTAATGTATGAAATGCCACAAGATGCCCGAACACATGTAAATGTCCACAAACCCATATTTTTAATAAAAAACATGCACTGGTATACATGCAAAACATAGGCATTGTGCATTGGGAGACGCTATTGGCAAAGCTTGCATATTTTAAAGTCCTATGTTACTTCTGAAATTATAGCAACACGAAACCCGGGTGTTGGTGAAACAACGACGGGTGTGGATGATTCTCAAACGCAGCCGCTTGGTAAAACAACAAAAGAATTGCCTCTTGTTACAATGAAGCCAATACATGAAGTGATAACTATCAAACCACCAGAGGTATTTATACAAACCACACCAGCGCCAAAACCTTTTATTCCCTCATTGATAATACAACCACCGGCGATAATAAAGCTACCTGAGATAACATCAGCACCTGAGGTTGTAGGGGTTATTTTGCCAGGTAAGATCGGGCACCAAGAGGTAAGATATGTAACCAGATAGCAAATAGCCTAACTGAGAATAACTCCATCCTAAAATAGACGTCTAGCAATAGTGCAGCATTTCATTAACCACTGCATTGATTTGTTTCTGAATGTTTGTATACTCATGTTTGATACATTGGTTTCATTTTCATCAATGTTGCATTTCTTTGTTCCAGATTCCTTGCCTGCCTTATCTGAAATGTTCATGTTTAAATCAAGAGCGTTCACCAAAGAGCTGACTGTGACTGATAACTGTAAGGTGACATGGGCGTCCGATGGTTGTGCGATGTCCTTCACCCCTAACCCTGACGATTGCCTAAATGTTAATGTTATAATTGAAAAAGTCTTGAATACTGTTAGTGGTATTGCAGAAGCTCTTCAGCTAGGATCAGTTGGGGATAATCCTATTGATTTGTCTGATTTGGTTGTTAAATATTTTGAAGTCAATGTCTGTGATGAAATTGTTACACTTTCAGTAACTTTATTTGCTGATCGAGAGATCACACTTATTCCCACTACGTTAAGTGTCACAAATATCGAGATCGACCTGACAATTGCTGTTCCCGATAAATCTATCACTGTTTCCTTTAGTGCGACATGGGACTTGGGAGGAGTTTCATTCACTATCCAAGCAGGCTATGATAGAGGCGAATACGACATCACTGCACGTCCAGTTACATCTGATGTAACCCTTGCCACTTTGTTGGGAAGCGTCGCAAATGCAGTGGTACCCGGAGATTCTACAAGTGCATCAGCTGTTTTTAATGATCTTAAGTTCAATAGCATTGTTATAAGTGATATGAGCCTTGTTGCTAAATTTACAGATTCTGGTATGGGGTTCCAATTCTCCTTTACATCAACAATATCCGGTCTTGGCAGCACAAACATCATGCTTAACTTCAACAGGCTCAAAGAGGGAGGTAATTTCACAAATGCATTTTCATTGGCTGCCCTGTTAAAAGAACTGACCCTCGCGTCAATTATTCAACATATTGGGAGCTATGATATCTCTACTGTTCCTCTGATTGGTAGTTTAGCGTTTCCAGAGGTAGCGATTATCGGAGCTTCCAAAGATATTCCCGAGCTCATTGTCGACTTTACCAGTAATTCTGACATAATTTCTCTGCTACCATCGGTCAGTAAGGGTATCGCTCTATTGTTCAGTGCACGATTTGATACAGACTCAGACCCGATGAATTTCATGGTTAAATATACTCCTCCTAAGTCAATTGGCTTTAGAATTTTGCCAGGACCGCAGCTTGACGTCGAGGGTATCATTAACAAACTTCTCACATCCATCAATCTTCAACTGCCCCCTGGATTTCCATTAGCGACGTTTCTCAATCAAGGTCTTTCCAATATGAACTATAACGGTGAAATCAATGAGCTTAATATTCCAGTGATACTCGGAGATGATATAGTAATAGTGAAGCATGTGTTTGAGATAAAAGAGCCTGAGATCGACTTTGTCATAGGTCTAGGAAAACCAAGGACTTTAAGCTTTGTGGCAAGTGGTACTTGGTTGATAAAGGACTACCCCATTGCACTTACCATTAGTAAACCACCCGGAGAATCCGAATTTTTGGCATCTGCCTGTTCTGAAAAACCCCTAGAAGTTGGTAAAGTCATGGCTCAATTAGCGTCGTCGTTTCTTCCTGATTTCGTCGGTAATATTTTCGAGACTTTCTCAATCGAAAATCCATGTTTTGAAATTTTAATAGGCAGAAACTTTGGAGTAAGGGTAAGTGGCACTGCCGTTATAGGTAGTTTCGATGCTTCTAAGGTAGAAGTATTAGGAGGAAAGGTAGATGGGGCTATGCTTATGGCTTTAGGCATTGTACTTGAAAAGACTAGACTCAGTAGCGTTATAGATAAACTCACTAAGGGTAACGTTGACATAACGTCAATGCCGGGTAGTAGGATATTTGACGAAAGTTCTATCGGGCTCGTAATGTCAACTCATGAAATACCAACCATAGGAAGAAGTGAATTAAAATTCAGACTCGCCATGTTAAGCAATACCAATACGCTGGATGGTGTATCGTTTGTTGTCCATATAAATCTCCCACCTTCTTCAGACTGTTCGGGTGATTTCCTTTGTCTAGTTTTGAACAAATTCCTACCCGGTCTCTCTATGATTATGAAAGGACGTCTTGCAATAAATGATCTTTTACTCGAGGTGACGATTCCTAGAGAAATAGAGATTGCCCCTGGCTTTATGCTGTCTGGCTTAGGGTTTAGAATAATTGTTAGACCACCTTTAATAGAGGTAGCTCTGATAGCTAGTCTGATAATAGATGATCCTGCTTTACGTTTTACTGGTGCTATTGGTTTTTCAACTACAGGAGGGGCGACATTGGAAATGGCGATGGTGGGATGTTGGCCTAAACCATTCGCTATTCCGATTGTAACTATATGTGACCTATTTATCAAAATAGGCATAGTACCTGAACCCACCGTCATCTCTGAGTTGCATCTAGGGGGCCGTGCTCAGATCGGTTTGATTGACAACTCGAAAGCAAGACTCTTCAATGCATCTTTGTTTATCGGCCTCAACAAAATTGTGCCTTCTGAAAGTTATTTCTTAGGAAAAATTTCGAAATTAACAATTCCTGCAATATTGGCTGCGTTTGCTTATTTCCCGAGTCTGCCAAAGGCTTTAGACGAGATCGGTTTTCCAGATGGTCTTGATGTGTCTTACACCCAGTTGTTAAGTGGTAAAGTGTTACCAAATGGTGTTACAATACCCAGTGGGTTAAGGTTTAATGGGACCATACAAATAATGAGCTTCAAGGTCAGTAGTAGAATGCGTATGGACATCAATGGTATATTTGTGTTTCTTACTGTGGACAGGTTCAACATCGGAAACAATCTAATCAGTGTTGACGGTGATGGTAAATCTGGCCCTGAGTTGTTAGTTGACGTTGGGTGGAATCCACCTAGAGCAAAAATTGATATTCAGGGGAAAGTTTGTGTACTTAAAATATGTGCATCAGTTAATATAACAGTTGATTCACAAGGTATTCACTTTGAAATAGGGGGAAAGTTCTTAGATCTCTTTGAAGCTCAGCTTACCCTTACTGCTAGTTACACATCATTAGATTCTGCAACGTTTAGTGTCTCTGGATACTTTAAACAAACACTCTTGGATACCTTGAAGAACAATGTGATCAGTGCCATTAGTGATCTAAGTAAGAAGGCTACTGCGGCCCTCGATACAGCCACAAAAGGACTTGACTCGGCTCGACAAAGTATGGATAGTGCAGCTGAAGATCTCCGAGCCAAAAAAGCTGTAGTAAGAACATTTGTTTAATCCAATCCTACTTTTTATAACATTATGGCATTAAATAAATTGTTTTGATAATGTGTATTACCTTTATCCAAATATGTTCACGGTTTGGCAGTTATAATATATTTAAGCCAGAATGTCTCGATAAGTTGACGAGCTCACTTCGGTATACGGCTGAAGTATACGACGGGGTGCGATCAGGAGCGAATATCGCTTATACAAAGCTTATCTATGTCTAGGTTGATGGGATTCAAAAGTCAATTAATACCAAAGCTCAGGAGATCAGTGATCAAAAAGAGAAGGTTGACTACTTGGAAAGTAAATGGAAAGAAAGTGTAAGAGTTGCAGAAGATCAGGTTGAGAAATTAGAGGATGCTAAGGCTGAGATAACTAAAGTGCAAAACGAGATTAAGAAAATAGAAGACAACTGTCCAGCTGGATGTTCATCAAAGCGCAGAAAAAGTAAGAATTGTATAATTTTATTGTTTTGTTACTATAAAAGGCATTTACACAAAAGCTCCATGTTACACACAGAGACACCACAAGGCATATAACAGCATAGAGCAAATAACAATGAGGCTAACAAGTAAAAAAGTGGAGACTCCTAAAAGTAATATTGGTTAACATAAAAACTACATATTAATAATAATCAATTGTGAATAAATACTGTAAATGTAGACTGTAAATGTTTAAACCAGGATTGAAAGATGGAGTTGTGAATCAGTGAAAACATTTTATTCATATTATCTAGATATATAAACAATATAGCCATTATTATACAATCATATGAATTCCATTCGATTTAGGAAGCAGTAGACCTTGTTTGCAACTGTTTTACAATTTTACAAAATGAATTTGTTCAATATTTAGAGGTCGCGACATATAGCAAATTAAAGATTATTAAATTCCTTATCAATTGGTTTATAATTTGACATGTTTTCCTCAATGTAATCAATGTTTATATTTTAAATATGAGTGTCCCATTTTTGGCTACCCTGTATATATCGGATGATTGAGGCCAAATATGAACAGTATTCATAAAGTATTCGATATCCTTTGAGGTGCAGGACTTTTCTGATCAGCCATCGTACAGCATTCTGAATGTGTTTCATTTTAGGAAATATCGGATCCTATTCTATATGTGACGATTGTACAACACGTACAACAATATACAATTAATTGAGAGGTTAAGCTTTGCATATATAATCGAAACTGAACCTGTACGTATCACTCGACCATATACAAATGCATGTAGCCTTCTCATATAAATAGCCGTTCAAATCCAGTGTTTGTTTAGACTACACCATAGCGTGTAATGATTCTATAGTATGTCATTGATACGGTTTTATAGCTGGTTTTCTAATACATATTTTAAACGAGCTCGTTTCGTTAGATTTTTGGCGCTAAATCATGCATGACATACATCATCGTGTGCATCGAAATCAAAATTGACAGCATAGTGTTCAATAGACACGAGTAAAATGGTTCCCGTTGACCCAACGTCAAATTTCAAAATCTCCCGTTCTAAACCCGAAACTCTGAAGCTGAAAGAGTATCTGAAGTAGACTAAGCGCGCATAAAACTATGAGCGCTCGATACATTCCTTTGTTAATTTTTGTACTTTGCGTTCACGGTTACGTTGTGAAAAACATCGTTAGCTTAACCTCTCCATTGTTAATTATATCCCGAGAGGTTTACAGTCTCGGAATATAATTTTGACAGTAAACTGAATGGAGAGGTCTATAATTGTTTTGTTAGTCCGAAGAATATCTTAGATTTTTCTGACCCTTGAAGTTGACTTGAAGTTGGATCCAGACCCTCAAGACGTTCATGTTGTTCACGGCAGTAAGTTCACTCAATGGAGTCAAATTACTCTCCTGGGCGAAGTCCACTAAAAGCTTTGTACAAAGTTTTAGATTTTTCTTCGTATTTTGACTGTCTTTACTCTCTAAGAGACTAATAATATCCTCATCTTCAACATTTTTGAAACGGCTAGTGCTAGCGGCGGCCATTTTATCGTCTGATAATGACGTCATTTTAGTGGAATGCTGGGAATATTATTCACCGGCAATGCATTGCGCGGTGTACAGTTAAAATTATTCACCGATCGTTGACCAATCAAAATCGAGTATTTCAACTGAGGTACTAACAATATACAATTATTGACCTCTCCAGAGGTTTACTGTCAAAATTATATCCCGAGACTGTAAACCGAGACCGTAGGTCGAGGTTTACAGTCGAGGGATATAATTTTGGCAGTAAACCGAATGGAGAGGTCTATAATTGTTTTGTTAGTCCGAAGAATATCTTAGATTTTTCTGACCCTTAAAGTTGACTTGAAGTTGGATCCAGACCCTCGAGACGTTCATGTTGTATTTCAGTATATCGGCAGTAAGTTCACTCAATGGAGTCAAATTACTCTCCTGGGCGAAGTCCACTAAAAGCTTTGTACAAAGTTTTAGATTTTTCTTCGTATTTTGACTGTCTTTACTCTCTAAAAGACTAATAATATCCTCATCTTCAACATTTTTGAAACGGCTAGTGCTAGCGGCGGCCATTTTATCGTCTGATAATGACGTCATTTTAGTGGAATGCTGGGAATATTATTCACCGGCAATGCATTGCGCGGTGTACAGTTAAAATTATTCACCGCTCGTTGACCAATCAAAATCGAGTATTTCAACTGAGGTTCTAACAATATTAATTATTTTAGGAAGCATACGACGCGGTGAGCAATCAGGGCGTGACGATAAGATTGTTAAAGGTATGACCAATGCATATTAAAACTATTTGTAAATATTCTTTGGTGATATACAAATATAGTATTTTTAATTTATTTTAACATTTATTTGAATTATTTAAAGATAATTAATTTGAAATGCTCAACGCAGCTTCTGTAACCGCCGATATCTTTTTAGATTCACTGCTGGAAAATAGACTCGATGGCAAAGCATCTAAAAGTTTCCTCCATTCTCAAACAAAACGAATAATATCAGCAATTATAGGTTAGTATAGGGATGTTTTATTGAAATGCTGAAAAGTGAAATTAAATTACCCTTAACACGGTCTCGTTTAGACTGTTCCGTATTAGTGGTTTTGTTGACATGAATACGGAATAAATCATACCATTTCATGAAAAATGGTGACATTGTCCTACGGAAATTGAGATCATGTTTCACAGCAAGTTCGCATGGCGATACTGTATAACACATGCCATTGGTCCCTTAACACTCCAATTTAGACCGTTCCGTATTTATGGTCGTGATGACATTAATACGGAATAAATCATACCATTTCATGAAAAATGCTGACCTTGTCCTACGGAAATTGAGATTATGTTTCACAACAAGTTCGCATGCACCGTATACATTCCCGGGGAAATCACAATTTCCACAAAACTTGCAATGATAATTGTTTTGATAGCTTATTGATGGACATTGGACAGTATCTTATTGCATGCAAATGGCAAACTGTTTGGCTTGAAACACAATAGAATCTTGAATCTTGTATTACATGTAACCACACCAATTCTTGTGGATAGAATAAACATGATAATAAAAGCTAGTCGCATTGTCTTTGTGAAAGTGGACAAGACCACAACAAAAGTCTTTTGATTTTTCCGACATGTTCATGTGGATACGCCACATTTTAGAAAGACAATTAGTACCAAATGAGGTTAGCTGTCCATTTGTTCATTTTAATTTAAAAAAAAATGAAGCTTACATTTTCATAGTATTGTTTCCTTGTGAAATAAAAATTGTAGTATTGAATTCTAAATCACTCTGTAAATATGTTTCAAATTTTTTGCTTTTGTCTTTGGAGGCTAAAGATAGATTAAAGTAAGTGTTAATTCTGACTTATCTGCATATAATATGATTGTAATTGTGTCTCATAAGCCTTTGGAGGCTGGCCGTATAATTACAGGTGACACTGTAATAAATAAATAAATAAATATAGTTGTCATTACTTATTTTTTGTATTTGTAAAATTTATTAAAGTGTCCTGGGCATATATTAATACAAACATGTAGCTAAAATACAAATGGTAATAAAATTCAAACGTATTAAAAGCATTCAATATGCTTACCCCAGGCCGTGTTCGGCCTATAAGACACTATGTATAAAAACGATATTCATCAAAATTAACTGTACAGTTTATGTTCTCTTTTTTTAAACATTTGGCCACAGGCCTTTGCCACATAAACAGCAATCTCATGATTTGACACCAAGATATAGAACTTCTCATCGTCTGTAAGTCTTTGAAAGTTTGTAATTTTATTCTGAACCTTGGAAAATAAATCATTTCTGATACTAGAATAAAACGGACATTTTAACAAGAAATGGTGTTCATTTTCAATGGCATTAACATCACAAAAATAACACAGTCTCTCTGGAACTGACAGTCGTTCGTATCGCCCCGTTTCCAAACGTAGCGGAGCAACGCCACATCTCTTATGCGATATTCCCTATCACCGTGTCTAGTGCTGGCACTTAGATGATTTTCTTGCGAAGGTTTTGGTACATCCTTCAGACCGGCATGACACTCTTACCCTCTCCATGACGAATGAAGTTATAATTGAAACTAAATGCCCATGCTACTGAAACCCGTATTCAGGGTATTATGTTTCATACCCCGGGTTAAAACATACTAATATTGTATAACACTACCAATTATCTTAATTGTTTCATTTCATTCACGAGTGCACCGCTTCGTTCATTGAGTTTACTTATTGAGTCAACCAATTCCGTATTAACACGTGGACTAGCATCGGGTTTTTCAGAATGTTGAAATCGTTTATTTGGAGATATAACGAACCAAACTGACATGTTCGGTTTGTCAACGACTGAAGTATCTGTCGCTGGCAAGTGAAATCGGTTTCAAGAATTTAAGATTTAAAAAGTTATGACAACTTTTGTGATTTTTCACGTTTTTGTAAATGTAAACAAATGAGGTTGAGACCCTAAGGCTTTTTTATTATTCTATCGACAGAGATGTGATTGGTGTCTATAGAAAGTAGAATCAATTCCCCAGAGCATGTGCTATACAGTATCGCCGTGCGAACTTGCTGGGAAACATAATCTCAATTTCCGTAGGACATGGTCAGCATTTTTCATGAAATTGTATGATTTATTCCGTATTAATGTCATCACGACCACAAATACGGAACGGTCTAAATGAGAGTGTTAAGGGACCAATGGGAAAGAGGAATATAACAAACGCGGCCAGTTTAAAATCAATTAAGATCTAAGGTAGCAACAGCATAGAACGAATTGTATTTTATTTAAAATGATGTACAGTTGAAACAAAATAAAGGCATATCACATTGTGTGATTAAACATTGCAGTGATATGTGATAGTTATTTGACGTTTTAAATTGTCTATGAAATCATATATAGGCAATAGGATTCAAGATCGACAAAAACGTTTCATCGGCGGTGGCTTTGAGTTCAAAAGTCCGTGGGAGAGTGGAAGAGAAGCTGCGGAAAATGTAGCCGAAAGAATAAGACTCGAGGATGCTAGAGAGGCCGTCAGAGAAAAGGGTAGAGAAGCGGGTGAAAGAACTCGGGAGACCGCTGAAAATGCGAGAGAGCGCACTGTAGAAAGAGGAAGGGAGTTCAGTGAACGAACGAGAGAGGTCGCGGCAGAAAGGACGAGAGAGTTCCGAGAACGGACAAGAGAAGCTGCGGAGAAGTTGAGACTTGAGAGGGTTCGAGAAGTGGCAGTTTGTAAATCAATAGATGCTGCTAGAGCGACATGCTTGTTACCGATAAAAGTATGAATCTATTTGAATCAAGCAAAAAAGCAATAAAAGTATAGAAAGCAAATAATATTCAGGCCTCGGTCACATTTCATCTACAACAACCGTACTGCGGTCGTAGCTTCCTAAAATTGAGAGAAATGTGTAACATAAAATATAGGGATAAGCAGTTGGATGCATATGTTCTATATTGATTATTGATGCTACGGCTGTCGTACGGCCGCCGTAGTGCAAATGATACTGAGGTCAAATTCATTTCAATCAACGCAATGAAATGTTTGTGTATGGTACATGTTTTGCAATCAGTCCAGTAAGTTTAACTGAATCTCTTTACTGAACTCTTTTACAGGGAATGCGATTCACGTTAGAGGGTTTAAAATCAAGTTTTTTTCCTCTGCAATCAGCTACGGATTTTGCTCTTAAAGTGGCTAAAGATAACAATTTGGCGTTTGATGCAGCTAAGCTTACATTGGTTGGTCTCGAAGAGTCAATGAAAGGCCTCGCAAGTTCGTTGGAAGGACCGAAGAGACTGATGGACGCAGCTGCTACGGTACTTGAACAATCCCAGTGAGTATATGCCACTGATGAACATCCAAGTATATTTCATAACTCTGGATTAAACAGAAATAAGATAGTATAAAAGGTTTAAAAAGTGTTATATGCTTGATGCAACGTTAAGAAATGCAGTTGCTTTCCTTAAAATCCTAATTTTATTTTCCGAAAAAAGAATTGAGATATCTGGTCAAGGATAAAGACTATCTAAGATATTGAGATTCTGAAAAGTAGCAATTTAGTTATTGAAACATTTTCCTAAAATAAAGTCAAATTTCGAACACCCTGACTAGAAATAGGCATGACACTGAATGATAAGTGCAAAAATTATGTAAAACTGAGACATTTCCGGAAAAAGCTCATAACTCAAGTGTTTTAACTCATTTTTTGATAATTATCTGGATAAGAAAGATAACAAAAAAGATGAATAACATTATTGTAGATTTGTAAAGCAGAATATTTGCAATATGTTTGAAAATATTGAAGATGTTTAAAGAAAAATGATACACGCTTTAAAAGTTGAGTTATATTATTGTAGATTCGTATTTCTAACCGCCAAAGTTGCTTTGGATGGCGTTAACCGGCTGCAAAAAGCCGGTCTGAATGCTGCTTCCTTCATTACCAAATTTGGTCTAGGGAGTGTCATAAATATAAAAGAGCTAAGGTTCAACGTAGCACTTGCCGTCGCAGAGACTGGTGAATTCAGTGGTACAATAGTAGTGTCATTCCTTGGTCGTTCGGATGATACATTCTCGTTTCAAATAAAGGTGAAATCCGTGGAAGATATGGTAGATATATTAGTGAATGAAGTGGAGGATCTTCTCAAATTGTAATTGCCTGTGTTTGAACATAAGTTATCGTTTAATAAATATTAGAAATCCACGTTTAATAAATCAGGTGTTATGTTAGTTAATAATCCAAAGCATCACTTGTTCGTGCTAAACCTAGCTTGACTTGATTTTGCTTGAAATAATAATATGTGAGGATGGGGATTACTTATTCATGGGAGCAATGTCGCAATATTTCCCCGTTGCCATGTGTCATGTGATCTGAGACCAATCATAAAACGGCAAGTTGATAGTTATATAAAAATGATAGTCATTATTGCATGTTTCTATTATCCCTTTGTGTCTAATTCATCCATATACGCTATGCAACAATGATGTCTAGAAAAAAGATTAAAAGTTTCTGACTCCATGTCAAAGTTTAATGTGTTTAAAACACAAGCCCATAATATTTATTTCTTCTCAAATTGGTTTAATAAAAAAATTAACCAGATTTAGTAGAAATTCTCGTAATCCCCGGTGTGTGGGGTTAATGTAATAGAGGGCGTAAAATTTGTTTTTCAACTTTTTTTTATCGGTTTTTGGTTTCCAATACGTTTTGTCTGCATTGAACTGAATGAATGGACTATTCATGAAAACCTTTTGTCACTTCATACGATAAACATCACCTCGACCATTTTGAAATATAAAACGGATTCATACAAACATGACGTACAGACCAAAGTAAATTACACTTAATAAAATCTTTAACTTGTGACCTTATGAGACATTTACGTGGACCAGACGGGGGTGAATAGATCGTGGATAATCTCATCTAGAGTGTTAAACTCATACCCAAAATCCAATTTGGAAATACACAATACGCGACCGACCAATACGTCTATCACTCAAGTTGCTAAGAACCTGGAGTTGTGAAACCAGAAAAATGGCCTTCAATACATAATAGCCAAACGCGATGTAGATCAAGATAAAACACAGTACAAATCGGGAGTTCTCTGGATTTCTAAACGACAGCCGAAACACACATTTTAAAAGCAGGAAGGCTTACGAGATCTAAAAGTTAGAGTTATCCAGCTGTTAACATTACGTTAACTTAATAGATTTTATCCTATTTATCAACAAAGATTGGTCATATACTAACATTTGGAAAGAGGTTTACTCAGTTGTAAAAGGGGTCAATGGATTGGACACAAAAGCAGTGTTTGTCGCTGTAAAGTTAAATAAACAACTCGCGAACAGTTCATTGAATCAAATTATGATAACATATAAGATTTAATCAAGTGAATTTGCTTAGTAATTTGACAAAGTCGTTAAAGTGGATTTGTCTCAAAACAGTCATAACATACCGACTCATGTCAAGGACAGGATCATAAAGAATGATAACTATAAAACAATGAAGAAAGAAGCCTATTCTTGTATTGACAAACAAAAATGTTTTAAGTGATTTGGATATAACATGTTACCTAGGAAAGCATTACCCGCGATAGTCGACAATTGAAAAAAATGGCTAGTGATATAGGTAAACATTGAGCACGTATACTCCATTGAAACCGATGACACTACGGGGCCAAAACAAACTACCAACAACAATCGTCACATAGTGAACCCTTAGTTGTGATGATCGTCGAAATAACATCATGACAAACACAGTTTTTGATAAGTTATTTGAGGATGAGTTTTCCTTCCTGAAAGGAAGCAAGAAGAAGGTCGGAAATTACCTACTTGGAAAGCTACTGGGAGAAGGATCGTTCGCAAAGGTTCGACTCGGCGTACATGTTCTCACCCGAGAAAAGGTAATTTAAGTGGATCGGAGTACTAGATTAATCATGCAATCAATAGTACTCAACACATATATTTAAAGATAACATGCTTACATATTAGCAAATGTTTACTCTCAAAATATGTTAAATAACGGTATATAGTACTGATAGAAATATTGATCATGATTGCGATATTTTCGAAAAATAGCGCAAAAATCTTGTTTTTAAATCGACATGTTACGTTCGGGCCATATAAGTGGACAGAATAACCCCTAAAAAAGTATTTTTTATCAAATCCAGACACTAATTTTACTCAGATATTGACCAATCGTAGTTAAAAATATTCATTGGTGCTCTTAAAATGTGTAGGGTCGTATCAAACAACATATTTCGTCATTTGCAATATTCCTCTAATACATGTTGAGTACATGGAAGCGAGTCTCCATAGGCATCGGCGTATATTTCAAGCAGTTTGCTTTTGTTATTAAGAACTATACAAATATGTAGTATTTACTTATTGTTATCGATGAAATAAAAACGATTGCAAAATATCACGTCGATACGTATACCAATAGAATTTAACAATCAAATTAAGCAGAAATTCAATGGTAATGTCATTCTCCGATTGTTGACCTTGACCTCCAATGTAATGAGGTCAAAGTTGACTCCTTTAAATGATGCCTTTTTTAACTCAATGAGGTCTCTATGATATACCCATTCATATCACAACCTCTCGATCTCAGAAGCAAACACTTGAAGAATCTTATTTAAAACACATTTCAAATACATTTTATGTAAAGCCTGAGTATAACATTACGTGCAAACATTACCGACTGAATGTGCTTAGTAAATTAACAAAGTTGTCGGTAACCACTCACTGGTGCCAAAATTGGAAAAAAAAATATATAGCAAGCGTAACAAAAAAAACTATTCAACTCAAAGTGTCCAACGCAGAGAGAAAATGTCCCCCTCCCCACCAATCAGGAATATTAATTAAATCATAAACCACAAGTTGTTATGTATTGTAAACACGTGTTTAATTGTAGGTTGCGATTAAAATCATCAACAAAAAACTGGTGACAAAGCGAGACTACGTGAAGAAATATTTCAGAAGGGAGGCGACGATCCTACAGCGGCTTGACCACCCGAACATCGTACGACTCTACGAGGTACTCGAGACAGACAATTCATATTATATGGTCACGGAATACGTGGAGGGCGAAAGCTTACATGATTTCATGAATAACAGGTATGTCGTTCTCATTCATGGTGATAATACAAAGGCCGATAAAAATGCTGTATCTTTTTCTTAAGAAGAGGGAATCACTTGAAATGTTTAAACAATTTACATAATTTATATGGCTATACAGCAGGGAATTTCCAAAATGATTAACTGATAGAACTTTCTGTAATCACACTTTTCCTACCCCATGGTAGGGGCACTTGGCCCAGGATTTGAGTTCATATTGACATCATAACTCGTATTGAAAATCTGAAAAACTAAATCCAACTGTGCAATCCTATTTGAGATAAAACTCAACAAAGACTACTCAAAATAGTGTCCTTCGGGATTAATTCACTTTATTAATACACCCTGGTATGTATCCACCACACACCCACTGTTTGCACCTTTTCAGGTGTCAACAGCATTCTTGATTTCAACTAATGTTCTTAAATATGAGACACTCGGATCCCTCTCCTCATATTTAACTTGTTGCTGATGATATTGCAGATCATGCCAGATTTATGACATGATGTGTTGTCTGAGGCAAACATGATTGAATCTTTGGCTCTGTTCGGTCACTTTTTTCTGAATTGCTTTACGTAGTTGAACTGCAAGCAATTTGTGTGTTTATCACTTGTCTTATGTATCATGCAGCATTCATGTTTTCTGTATCAAACAGGATTTATAATGATTTCACACTTATGAGAAGAGCAACAGCAGTTATTGTTAAAACAGACATTTGTAGAATTACGTAACCTCGTAATGGGGTTTCGATCATTTGTTCAAAATAAAACTAATTTTAAACTTCACAAATTTTACCCTGCCCCACTATAGTGTTATTGAGGTTACCATAGCAACCATAATTTCAGAAATATTCATTACCAGCATCTAAATTTGTCATATCCTGAGGGAATAAATGACCCAGTTACTCTGAAAATATTGTGGAAAACCGATGATAAACTTTTAAGTCAGAGCATTTTTATCAGAACTTCTGGATCGACATAGTACTAGCTTTAATGTTTTCCTTTGATAGGATGGCGGATTAGCTATGATATTAGACTATAGTCACCAAATAGATAAATCCTGAATGGTTCGGGGGGGGGGCTGTGGGACCAAAAAGGCCTAAAGGCCTCAAAAAGTGGGTCTTTTTGATCACAACTGGGCCTTTTAATGCCTTAATTTTTATTTAATTTAAGGCCAAATTCTGAAGAAAATTGGGCCCACTGTTAGGTTTTAGGGGCCCAACATTTATTTACGCGCAAGCGCGGAAGTTTTTTCTCTGACCTGAAATTTGCTCACCCCCCCCCCCCTTTATTGGTTCCCAGATCCGCCCCCTGTGGCTCATCAAATAATAACATTTATTGTACACTTGTCGCTGAAGGTTGCAATTATATTTAATTGTATTTTGTTTTTTTTTGTTTTTAAAAACAAATATTCATCAACATTAACTTGAAGAATGAAAATACATGATTTTTTTGTAGGAAGCATCTCAGAGAAGATGAAACCAGACTGTTTATGCGACAGGTCATATCAGCGGTTGACCACATGCACAGAACGGGAGTCGTACACAGAGATATAAAACTGGACAACTTCCTGATTGATAAAAAACATCACCTTAGAATCATAGGTAAGTTGAGATCGGTTCCCATTGAATTGAACGTTGTAAATTTTCAGAAAAAGACCTATTGCAGCAAAAGTATGCCATTTTGTTCGAATCGAACAAAATATTGACTTAGAGTCTACAGAAGAGTTCGTGCATATGTTCTCCAGAGAAAATTACAACATTGCATCACTTGTGTAATTATAATATAGAATCATTGTCCAGATGTAAAAGAAATTTTGGTCCCCCAGGGATTATGGTCCCCTTTCTTAACAACACTTACTGGCCCTGATTGTGTATAAGATAACAAGGGAAAGAGGTCACCATATATAATTTGAGAGGCCTCCTCTCCTTTTACACTGGGTGTTGTGACAATGGCTATTTGATATATTTTTCAGATTTCGGCTTGAGTAATCTGTGTACAGAGGGTAGCCTACTGGAGACCCAATGCGGATCGCCGGCCTATGCTGCTCCTGAAATATTCAGTCGTGAGCCATACGGATCCTCTGTCGATATCTGGAGTATGTAAGTACTAACGAGGCGAGATGCAAAAAATCACTACCTGCCATTTGTTACAGACGCTGAACTCAAAACGCCGACCGCCGGTTTCTACTAACACGTGTAATTATACAGAGTGCACGGCCTCTTATAATTTCGTAAAGGCATTTCATTCCCCACTTATTTAATTCCAAGCGCTGATGCTTACAAAGGAAAACGTAACGAAGTATACAGTATTGACAATGGAAGTTACATGTTATTCTATTTTTCAATTTTAGAAAAAGACTAAATGATATTAATATCAACGATCGATAAAAAGTGAATCCATTTTATTTCGTGTGTATAAATATAAACATGTGTTTTGTCATTTTACGGTAATTGTCACACGTGTCATTGTGATTTTAGTGGTGTGAATCTGTACGTTATGTTGACCGGTGGAATGCCATTTGACACTCATAATATGACGAATCTCACCCAGCTGCATTTCCAGATACTAAAGGGATGCAAAATACCTGACCGAATATCCAAAGGTGAGTAAAACAATTTTATTCACATTTCTTTAATTTTGATTAGTGTTCTCATCTTTCGCACATTTAAAATGTTTCAGCAAATTCCTAGTTTGCACTTATACGCTATCGAAGTCAATTTGCATTAAATATGTGAATCGTATTTTACCTTAAGTACTGTATAATATTTGAATTTCTATTTTAAACGATAAAGTATTGCTATTCGTAAGTTGTTTTAGTTATGCGTTTGACATACTTGTATTTAGGCCTATATTTGACTGATTTTGTATTTTAGATGGACAAGATCTGCTAAGAAGGTTACTGTGCGTGGATGCAAAGAACAGAATAACAATGCTAGAGCTATTAGGGCACCCGTGGGTGAACAAGGGACTAGGGAGTTTATTGCAACATTCAGATTTGAAATCTTCCACTACCCCCAGTGATGTTGATTACGACATTTTAAGGCATATGTCCAAGGAATATGGCATTTCAGAGAATGACTCTAGAGATGCTCTCGTTCAGGGGAAAATCAATGCATCATCGGCTATCTATAGATTACTTATGGACCGGAAACAAAGGGGAGAAGGACTCCCGAAGCGTGATGATATGAAACCAGGAGATATAAAAACAAGGAAACTCGGGGCTATCGTTGATGATCTACCGGCCACAAGTAAACAGAGGCAAAAAACTGAAATGAGCTCAGTTAAGTCTAAAGAGGGTGAACGACTTGGCGGATATATCATATCAAATGAAAGGTGCAATGATCCTGAAGCCGACAATGAACCGCAAACAAACAGCACAAAATCGACAACTTCGAAAGCAGTTCCAAAAGCAACAAAAAAGAAACGGAATATGCGCCCAATGGAGATCCCATCCGTAACTGTTAAAACGAATGAAAGCGTGCAACCAAACACGGAAACAACTCTAGACTCAAATAATAAACCAACCACAAAATCAGATAAAACACTCACCAAATCTGCAATTAAGGGTCTTGGGAAAAACAAGAGAATTCAAAATTTGACTATAATCGACCCCAATGACACTGCAAAAGAAATTCAAACACAAACTCCAAAAAAGAAAGATGCAATTGACAATAAAACGGATACACCTGTAGACTACAGGATTTTGAATCCATATACTCCAGAAGTCTTTGCAGATGATAAAATTAAATATTCGGACATGTGCACAGTTCTAGATGAATCTATTGAAAGCGAGCGTAACGTCAGTCTAAGCCCATTCAAACCCAATAAAATCACACGAGCTCCCCCTGTTCCGCCAAACTCTCGACAAACAGACGCAATATGCCCATCACCGATGAAATCATTAAAAACTGTGGACCTTGATGGCGAGCATGAAACAATAACGGAGGAAAATGAAAATAGAGAACCTGAACAAGACATTCCCGACAGAGGACCGGAATTTCCCGAGATATGCCGATCAAGAACGATGCCCACCTTGCGGGGTCAGAAAAAAACCCATCGGAATGCGCCACTCTACCGAGCTTTCAGGAGTGTGGAGGATGACACGACGAATGTCAATACATTTTACGATCACTATAAGTTCAAAGCCAGGACGAGCTTAATGACAAGAGAAAAGGGGCACACCCTTGAGTCGTTAACCATATCAAAGCCAGAAAGCCCACAAAAAGGTATTCGGCGACCAGGCCCATCTGATAAAGAAAACACGTTTCATAGAGAAAAAACGATCGTTCCAAACGGTGTATCATACACTGTTCCGGATCAACACGACCTTCACACACACGCCTTGGAAATTAGAAACCAAATGCAATCGCCTGAAGTTCTCAAACAGAAGATCGTTAAGAGTATCCTTCTTAAGTATTACAACCCATCGTCTTTAAGACCCCATACACGGTCCAAATCTGATTCGTATATCAAACTACCGAGAGTGGAAACAATGAGTGATCCCGGAACAACTGAAGTTGCTGAAGGATTTATTGACCTTCGAGATAATTGCTGATAGGTCGAAATTCAACGAATTTTGATCGGAAAGGAACATAATTTATTATACATAACCAATAAGCTCATGGCATGGACTATAATGAACGAGTGCCAAAACAAAAGTCTGACTTATTTTATAATGTTTGTAGTTGTTTTTCATTAAATGAAAAATACAATTAAAGATTATATATCATAATAGAAAGTATCTTACAGATGTACTGATAGTTTAATCTTCATCACTGGATTTTTTTTATTTTTAGCTACGCATTATTTGGGAACTTGTAAGAGAACCCATAGAATGATGGTCCCATTAGGGCTTAGACCTCCTTTTTTGTAGTATTCACTTACAGTACGATTGAAAATAACTGTCATCAGGCCCCTGGAAGAACCAATTGAGAGAGGGGAGTAATCTAGGGCGCTAGTAACATTGCACGTTGACATACAAGTCACTTAAAAACTCCGATCCCTATTAGAGCAAGACCTCCCTTATATGGAAAATAAATGGATTACTGACGCATATTTGTAATTCAATTTATTATTAACTCCGAATAATAAGAGAATAAAACAAAACATTGTTATACGGTCAATTAGTTTTCGACGAAAATAATATCACTAAAGAGAACATTTATTTACGTTACCAAGTATCTGATAAAACCATAGGCTAGTAAAGATAGCATGTAATCGATCTTTGTTTGGATAAAACGCTCACAGTTGTTTTAATTCATATTAGCTTTCCTTTGAGTTGTATAGATGTCACTAAAACTCGTTGAATTCCTATTCATAATTCAATATTCGTCGATAATAATAAATGTAGATAACATCCCTGATCAGAGTATCGGGGATAGTTTGAGACTCTAGTGTTGAACAGGGGCGATTGAGCTACACGTTTTTAAGAGAAATTGTAACTTAACGTGTACTATCAAATGATTCATTGATACATTGGTTTTGACATTTTCCAATTAATAAAGTCAGTTGCATGCTTATCTAGCCCTGACAATTGGAATAAGCCGCAGAAGCAGCAAGGATCCCAAAATCCAATTCATGGAATATGTATAGGACAGAGCAAAACCTAGGTCAAAGAAAAGATCGTAAAACTAAGTTTAAAGAACGTTTTTAAGTTATGTATATGTAAAAGTGCACAGCTGTCTATATAGCTACGCATATGCCTTTGAATGGATTTTTAGGAATGCGAGTAATGCGCTCGCCTACCCGGGAAAAATCATTGACTATGAACATGCCTTACCCTCCATATCGATAGCATAAAGCAAATGCTTCATATTTTACTCTTAAATGATAGACGTACGCTGTAATCACGTTGATTTTAACAAACATCATATATTGACTTGAGATTTGAGTTATATATAAACATTTTTGACGTTTTGAGCTACAAAATAGTTACTTCATGTATTTACTCAAAAGTATAACACGAACAATAGTGAATTTATCATTTCATTTATTTCAATGTACAAAATGATTTTATCTTAGTACAAAATAAAGAAACGCGATTATTCCATCTCAACTTTTTTCAAAAAATAATTGAACGTGCTTTATTTTTCTCCACTTCCATTTACATGATTTATATGAATCTATACTCACTTTGATGTCTAATTAAATATTTTCGAACCAAAACATTTCAAAATTCCAAAACGAAAAGTTGCGCGTTATTACGCTAATGCTCTGTCTGGTGTTTAGATATGATTCATAGGCTTAACAATTATCTGAGTTTATATTTTAAAGCCTATTATAATGAACTCACAGCAAGGTGCACGATGTGTACAATGTGATGTGTACAAAATATACAATAAATATTTAATAAAAAGCAACAATAAATAACAAAAATAAACACTTTCGAAACACAACCACGTCGGGATAACAATTATTTAACACCACGTGACTCACGTGTGATATTTCGTTTTGCAACTTTGAATCTGTTTATAAACTTTATCTATTCTATTTTGCAGTATTGATAGGTTTTTGTTTGGAATAAATGGCACCATATTATGCAGCTTTTCACTCTGTTCAAACAAAGTTCGCAATAGAAGCGCTATATTTTTCTGTTTATGGAGAGATTCAATTTGTTTGACGGTGCGTCGCCGAAAAATGCAAACGGACGCCAGTAAGTGTTCGTGGAAATGATCATAGCGATCTAACAGTCTGTAACTATGAAGTAGCCCTAGTTCATTGTCTATAAAAACTAAAAAGTTATTTTTAGTGGATGTTTCTAGGTTATGTGCAGGGCTTTGCATCATATCGGGGTTCCACTGTCTATTAAACATATTGTTGACTACTCTATCTACATTGGCGGTTAGGTAGTCAAATATGACAAGATCAGACCACTGAGCCAGTTCAACAAGCTCTGAGCTGGACTTAGTCGTAAGAAGATTGGCGGGGATAAGACTAGAGTCATTGTGCTGGAACTCGGAGGGGATGAACGCTGGAGTTAAATTGTTCACCCACTGTGAGATTATCACCGGCTTATCCCGGCTCCACTGGGCTGAGTCGATGTCATTTCGGACGTTCGACCATTTGTCAATTTTTGAATCGACTGTTGTCATTACAGCAGGGGGTACATGGTTTATACCTAGGAGTCTGCTTAGATAAAAACTGAATATTTCTCCTTGAAGCTGCTCCATATTAATACGGTATCTCGCGCATGCGCTCTGTCCATCACTATACCATATCCGGCGGTTCTGCATGCGTCCGCAGTCGGTTCCCTCAACCATGCGACTCACGGAACCATTTGCAACAACTGCTCTCCACGCAAGGGTATCATCTTTACTGAACCCTGCGGGGATAATTCGCTCTATGGCGTCCGCCCATAATACTCCAGACACAATGTCGGACAGTTTATCACTATATGGCATTTTCTTTGGTTCGGAGGGTGAATGCTGTTTGGTTCTCTCGGGGGGTAATTTATTACTGCCATAGATTTTCATATATTGTACTACTTTGAACTTATCTGCCTTGGCTAGGCCATCATCACTCACCCCTTCAACCTTTTCAATATTACCCGCACTATTCACATAATTATTGACCGACGCGTCATCGGTTACATCATGTGTGTTAAAACCCTCCGCGGGTGACGAGATCTCCAGTGACTCTAACTGATTTTGATCTTTAATAACTTGTGAGTGTTTAAACTCATTAATCAGAAATGACCGTCTATTATTCTCTAATTTGTCCGAGGTGTCATCGACATTTTTTCTGCTCCAGGACCTCCGTTCTCTATTCACCAATAAATCTCTTTGTGGCAAACGTTTCAAAGCGTCCAATGGCTCAATAGAACCAAACCCCTCGGACCTCAATCTATCACTGTCACTGGTTCGTGAATATAACATACCCGAAGGCTGGTCATCGTTTCTTTTATGATAATTCAATTTTGCGTTGTATGGGTCAATAGGTCTCCATCGGGGTGAACTAGGGGAATTGTGGATGCTGACACCAGGGAGTTGGAGTACTAACCCAAGGAAAAGACCCAGGGTAAACGCAAACCCCATCATGAGCACTGCCCCTGAACGTAGCTTCATCATATATGCCCTAACTCCTCACCTTCTTACAAGTCTTTGAACTAAAACATAAAAAGCTTTTAAACCATATAAATCCACCGCAAAGCTCTCTGTACATTCGCTAATGTAAACCCTCCAATTTTATGTGTTGTCTAGCGGGTTATTTTTTGTTCATCTTTGTGTGTTCACTAAATCGTACGACTTATAACGTTTCCGAATGAGAATCCGATATACTGGAACGTGTGTTTGTTACCTGAAGAAAGTATATCAAATTCGAGTTTTAGCATGAAACTGCACTTTTAACATCAAAAGGTGTTGTTGTTGGGGATGTAGTCCGTGATGGTCTCGAGTATTTACGTCTATAGACAAGAAAGTCAAGATGGCTAGAAAGACAATCCAGGTTCCCGTTCATAAATAGCAACTTTTGATCCGAGAATAAATCTATCTCTGTACGCAAGCTTATCCGGTGAGAATTGATGCTTTTGGTTTCTTGTTTCCAAAGTTTCTGTTTATGTTCTGTCTGTGGTCGCTATCGCCGTGTTTTTCCATCAACCAAAATGAGAAGGTGTTGACAAATTTTCTCTCGGCTTACACGAAATTGTATCAAATCCTAGCTCACTGTTTGAGAAGTTTTAACTGATGAGTTTCTACAGCAGTTCACTCGGTTCGAGCAGATCAATTGTATTTTGAAATTAATCCAAATATCCACATGTTACAGAAGATGAGCTTAGTACAATCCAATTTTAAGTAGTGTTTACTGGTTATTAGGCAAATGAAATATGCAGGCGTAGTGTGACTAAATTGATAACTCGTCAGCCCCTATAATTTCCAGCCGAGATCAAGCAAACGGATAGGATTCCCGTCGTGAGTGCTGTCACTAAAGTTTTTCATATATGACACTCATGTATCCTCCAAACAATGTCGTCTGCTGACATCTACGGCAAAAACACGAACATCAAAGTTTGTGTTTTGTTTTGTATTGTTTCTTGTTTGTTTAATTGTTTATCGACACGTGTCACTTGTCATAGATTGTTTATCGTACATCAAATTGTTTCAGTAATCGAATACTGGATACTTGTAGCAGTCAGACATCTTCATTCGTTAACATCTACATCTGTTATCGTATTGACGATCCTTTGGTTTTGTGCTCTATTGGGCATGTCATTTTGAACTTTATAATTAAATCTTGTAAACGTGAATCATTGAGGGTTTAAATAATGTAGAAGCTCTAATGTTATTCATCTCACATTTGTAGTTCTAAATCGATGGCACTTAGCTCCAACCAACTGAAAATATAAAAGAAAATTCAGGAATTAAAGACTCTTTTAAGTATGTCTTTGAATGCCCTTAAATAAATGAAGTGTCGTTGCTAAAAATGAATATCAATGCACAATTGCTAAACAATATGGTTAAAACGTGGAGTAATAAAACCAATAAACGTGTTTGTTAATTTTGAAAAAAATAAAAACTACATGTACATGGGAATTTTTATTTAATAATTTAATGTTTGAATTGACTCATTATTTGAAAGGTTAATTGGTACACCACGCGCTTGAACATTGCATAGCAAGGGGTAGAGTTCCTTTGAGACCCCCTCCCTGCAATTGTACAGAATTGAACCAATAACGTCGTTAAAATTAATGACTCTTTTGTGGGAAACAATTCATTAATAAAATATCCACACAAATAATTATCCGATACATGTATATCGTAGAATAAAGCTATCGTTATGAACAAAATCAGTTTGCGTGTTAGGAGAGCTTTCAGTTCTTGACGTTCGAAGTTTATTAAGTGCATTACTCTCGGTATCAAATATGTATATATCTCTTTTATACCTTGATCGATCGGTACCACAAAATACAACATTCCGCACGATATGCCTGCCTGTATAAAAGAAAATATATCTGGAGGTTGCTTTATTAATCAATTAAAGAATTTCGTGACAATTTATCGATATTTTCAATACGGTTTTCATTTTCGTATTATTTGTTACTATTTGACAGCTGAGTTTTTTCTGATAAATTTCCACTGCTGTCAATGTATGTTATAAATAACAAAGATGATATGTAAACTGAGACTTTGTTTGAAATAGATAATACATTTTTTAAATATTATCTTTGAATCATGATCCGGATTCTATTTTAAAAATCGGTTTACTTTACATTATTCAAATATAAACCATTCTAAAAGGTGTGAGAAGCCATAATTATAAAATATCAAATTTTTCTCAGAAATAGTCAAAGAAAATTTGGGGCATCGAGAATAGACAAATTAATGGAGATATCACTGAGGTAGTTTCGGATTATAATTTCTCAGTAATGGATCTTAATGTTTTTTTCATCATTTGTTTTTTGCGATTGGATGAACATTGTGAAATTGGAAAGCGCCCTTTCTAAAGCTGAATTACTAACCAACTTGCTAGATGTACATACTATATTGGTATACTTCAGTTATGTATACGATAATTAATTAATTAAATCATATCCATACCCCGCATCTTAACCATGAATTAGCCTCACTTACAAAAGCGAGGGGTATATTGCGAAATTCAAATACATCTACTTTACAATTGTATCATCTATTCATTTGAATGTGAGATATTAATTTGTATCTATAGAAAAATAACTTAAATCATAGTAACCATGGCAATAGCCTATTTTCCAATCAGATACCAATAAACCATTCCAAACAGTTTTGTTTTCCTTTTTAAATGTACCTATGGGTAACACTACATACAATAATCTCAAATTATAAAATCAATGAAACGCAATCTAAATCCCCAAAATATTTATCCATTTGAAATGTAACCAGAACCAAAGGATGGTTCAATAGAGCAAGCCGAAACAGTTCAGTGAACTTCAAAATCTGCATGAAAGAGCGGCCACCAATATCTACTTATTCCCAGGCGCTGTTATCTCACAGATCACAGGGTTATGTTAGCTACCTATGGGAAAATTATCACAGGATTCATGCACATTCTACGCGTTTTCTCTCTAAAATTTGAATAAACGACCCAATTTTCTTGCATTTCTATACAATTTAGAGTATTAACAACATAACTATCTATTCTATTCCTTGATGACTTTACCCTCTCTTCCCGTATTTCGCATTTTAAAATACGACCACCAACTTATTTTATCAGTCTGGAAAGGGGTGAGATAATAAGACAACAAGTCTGTTGACAGATTATTGCCAGTAAAACCCTAATGAGGTCAAACTTGTCATTAATCTCTCCTAACTTTCCCTCTCATGTTCCTTGCTCAAAGATATACTCTTGAGAATGATTTTCACGACCATTTATAGTGTTTACAAGTTTTTTTTACTGTTACTTCGGGTGAAGTAAAGTACCTGCATCATTTTTAATGCGCCGTTTAAAAATGCCAGGTTGTGTTTTGAATAGGGGATTTCCGAGCGTAAATGACGTTTATTTGACGTTTTTAGTTCGCTTTTTCAAGAGTTGAGCATCGTTGAAGTGGAGAAGTTTAGTCCTGGTTTAAGATTACGGTAACAGCAAAAGTACAGACGTGTCATAAACGCAGCGTCGGGATGATAAAGAAGTAATTTCTTGATATACTAGGGGCAGGGGGTAAATTTGTGGCATCTGGGGGTAGGAGGTAATCGTGGTGGGTAATACAATTGGCTCCACTGTAATTACCAAGCTCAGAGATAAGCATAAGTATTATTTATCATAATTATCAAAATACAGATTTAATTAAAATCAAATAAAACTAACTGTACTGTATTCAAAACTGAAGCCACATTCAGATTTATCGTATCTGAATAAATATTAGCATCTTCATATGCAGTCTGGGTTATTTTCAGAGCCATGTATTTTGTTAATTTCTGAGAGCATCTTTTTTCTTGCTCAGTAAAGCTAGAACAGATTTGGCACGCTGGATGGCTTGTATAAACATAATGTGATTTATGATGATTTTAATGGTTTACAACTCTAAAGTACACAAGAACAGTTGTTGCAAAATAGAACTATACTTATGTTTAAAGTTTTTGTAATTCATACAGCTTATATTTAAAAATTCATTTTGCTGTGACTTTTAATCGTTGGTCGTTTCTACTAGTTAGTTTTTTCATTATTTATCGAGAAAGCTCCTGTTCTACTTGGTTCTACATACATCACAAATTGATTTAGAATAATTTTCACATACCTTAAATTAGGTTATAAGATGGTTTTATAAGGCCAGGTTGAAAATGAAGAACTTTGAAATCAGAGGCTGAAACCAGTGGACCGCATATGGTAATTGAAATTATGTAACCACCCCCCCCCCCCTCCATTTCGACTACCTCACCCTCTAGACAAATGATCTTGGAGTGGGAAGAGGCGAAATGCATGTTCCATATATAAATCCTTTGATTTTTTAGGGAGATTCATTTTACCCATTAGCGGATATAAACCACCTCTCTATGCATTTCTCGGAACAAAGTGTGCACCAATGTATAGACTAAGCAGGCCCGTAACAAGCTTTTTGCCAGGGGAGGGGGGGGGGATGGGGCACTTATAAAAGAACTCGATGGGGATTCATATTTGACAACTTTGGCTCAAATCACTTGAAAAGTGTATGGTGAAAAAACTGCATGATTTTGAATGAATTTTTAGCCAGGGGAGTTAGCTCGGACCTCCCGAACCCCCCTGGCTACGGGCCTGCTATACATATAGTTACATTACATACCTTACATAGACAATTGCTATTGTTCTTTAGATTAATTGATTCAACCAGACGGTCTGCTTCACTAATGAGTTTTACTTGACAACATGTAGTCCCATAAGACAATGTAAATGAAATGAGATAATCGCAAGCTGATGACTCCATTCAACACCTGATACTCCAGGGAGGTTATATCTTGCATAACATTAATCTATTGTACTCGATTTTAACCTCTCTTTTCTCCGTTCTTGTAATTATAGTGTAGAAAGTTCCAAGCCCTGGCTTTCAAGGTTCCTGTGTATGACATCACATCTCAGTATTGGACTCGATTTTAACCTCTCTTTTCTCTCTTCTTGTAATTATAGTGTAGAGGGTTCCAAGCCGGGGCTTTCAAGGTTCCTGTGTATGACATCACATCTCAGTATTGGACTCGATTTTAACCTCTCTTTTCTCTGTTCTTGTAATTATAGTGTAGAAGGTTCCAAGCCGCGGCTTTCGAGGTTCCTGTGTATGACATCACATATATCTCAGTATTGGACTCGATTTTAACTTCTTTTCTTCAAGTGTTATTTAGGAGAAAGTTGTCCACTTTGGGATAATTGTCCGGTGTAAAAGAGAATATAGTATAAGGTGTTCAAGAGATTATTGTCCCGGGGATAATTGTATGGAGGGGTATAGCTATTAATTTCAAGAAGGTCACTATGTATGTTTACTGTATATGGGAAACCCAGAAAATATACACCCGTTGGGATCCACCCCCCCCCCCGTCCTCCCTCCACCCCCAAACTACACACCTCCCCAAATTGATAAAAGGTGTGTAGTCAACACATAAGAGGGGTGAGTACCATTAGTAAAAAGGAGACCACAATCCATAGAGGACCACATTTTCGTCCCCATCGGTGTGGTCTATTTCAAAAACATGGAAATTTGAGAAAAATATTATTTGTGATGGAGTCGAAGAAGATATCCCGATGCAAGCTTCTTCATCTTGAATTGTTCTTTTTTCACACGATGGCCCGCCGCGGTGTATAGCATGTACATTATGTAAGGCCCACATTGTAGACGACCCTTAGTTCAAGGATTACCCTGCGCGCAGAGTCTGAAGATGAAGCTCTCTTTTAAGAAGTGAAGTCGAACGAATGCAAAAGGTATCGAAGGATCGGGCATTGTATGCGTATCATGATACATTTATATAAACCAGGGCTAAATATGTGTCATCAGTCGATATATTTTTCCGAGGAAAACAATTTAATGCTTTTATCCTTATGTATCCTTCTGTATGAAGCATTAAATCCAACAGTTAAAAACCCTTCACCGATTAAGAAAAAGTCCATCAAAAATCTAAATATTTACAAAAACACCCAATGTTGCCAAAAATCTCATAACATACCTTGACATTTTACTTTCGAATGTTGTTGTTTTCGTGCCGCCTCTGACATCAGCTACAGTCTGAGCTAGAAGTCTACCGTCCTTTATTTATGCTTATATCCAACTGATGGGTGTATGTTTAACGTCCAAGTGATGGCGAAGAAATAGCTGTGTGTTTATAATTGATGACGGAATCCCCAATATGGAAACTGTATATGGCTGCTGAAGATAGCACAGGTCACGTGATCTTGGGAATTCCTCTTGGAATCTTTACCAGCGATACGGCTCGAAATTTAAATCCCTGTGTTTTATTTTCGTGAGTATCGTTCGGTAGTTTACAGTATATATCCAGATAATGTACCCGTTATGAGCATGAACGCCCCGAGCTTGTAGAAATTGGCCAAGTCTATCGTATTTCACTGTCCAAGATCGACCCTCTCTTGAACTGATTTAGTCCGGAGATCTACTCTGTAATGCTTGGTATATATAGGTCCCATAGTATTTGTGACTAAACCAAATGTCACATCTCATATAATTGATACCCAGCCGGGGTGAATGGGTATAAATTGGCTGATCGGATAAAACGCTGTGATCGATAGGGCCAGAATAAAGGGGGGCTATTCAACGGGTTACCTTTTAATACTTTAAGAGGATAAGACCAGACCAAAACTTACGAAAACAATGAAAGCCTTCCGTTTGAACATGTTACAGTATTAATGTCTTTTATTTCTTTTATAACACGAATGAAAAGTAAGATTAAAATACTAATCTAATGATATATTTATTTAGTCCCGAATAATGCCATCTGGGTGAAAAGACCGATGCTGCGATATCTTTTGATACTTTTGAAAGTACTTTATTTTTACCTTTGTTTTGAAAACGTGATTTATGGAGAAATATCCTGTACATTCAATGGATCGCAGTATTCAAATATTGATACCATTATTCTCAGACGAATTTAAAATAACACTAGTCAAATAAACTTTGGATAATAAACGAATGAGAAAAACTGTAACAGCCGTGACCCGTTATAACTAGACATACGTATAATTATTTTTAGTAACATTAATACCATAACTGTACGCTACACTACACTACACTACACTACACTACACCATGACAAAATAATACACCATATCATGCATTTAATCATACGTATTAGTTTACTGAATTCATTCAGACCCAACATTTTCTGCATTCCTTTTCGTTATGTATTTCAAACCAAAGTGAAATCTATTCATTCTAGCGATTTTTTGCAAACCAACTTAAACATTTTCAAATTGTATTGCAATGGAGATAAATAAACGTATCAACAAACACAACTGCCATCTTTGTGCCAACGTCATCAAACATATGTAATAATTGTATTTCTAAATCCGGAAAATATGAGCCTAGCATAGTGAATGCCCCCCTCTTCATCGGCTTCTCTGGGAAACAGAATATTCTCAGCTTCGTCGGATCACCCTCCCCCCTCGATATCTTCTTCACATTAGGACTACAGTCTGTTTACCTGCTTCATCATAAACTGTTGAATCTAATAAATGATAAATCTTATGACCTTTGACTTGTGCAATAAAAATAGATGGAAAACATAGTCATCGTGACACAATGACATTTATATATATTAGATTATCTATAGTGCAATTGCTAAGCATGTGGCCTGTTGTAATTAGAGGTCTGATCACATGTTATTAAGAATTAATACCAGATAATTAATTAGCATCAATACATAAGAGGTTACAAGCCAAATCAAAAGCAATCAAACCGGAATACAAATTCGTGTACAATATGCATATATTATTGCACAATAGATTTTTATTGTACTATTAACAAAGTTGTTGATTTTCTTTCTCAGATATATTTCTTTTTCTTTTTGACGTTTCGCAGGATGTCCCATCCTACTTATAAAATTATATTTGAATCAAACTGAAATAATTAATTATTACATAACAATGATGTAATATACAATTAAAAACGTTACTAAGGTATTACACAACATACCACCTAGAAAGTGCACTAATTTTTAATTGTATATTACATCATTGAAGTTTTTTATGGTAACGGTTGCTATTTTTCTCATTGTTATTTAAGAATTAATTATTTCAGTTTGATTCAAATATAATTTTATTTCTGAAGAAGTAGGATGGACATCCTACGAAACGTCAAAAAGAAAAAGAAATATCTCTGAGAAAGAAAATCAACAACTTTGTTAATAGTACATTACTACCAGAGAGATGAACATTCATAGAAGATCTTTTATTGTTTATGTTCAACTGGTTTTTAATGAAGCCCACTGCGTTCATCCGACGGGAGCACATGCCCAGTGAACGAAAATGTAGTATAAAGTGGAATATTGTCTTTGAAGGTATATACTCTAGTGACATCTTTCTTTAAAACAAATGTTTTTATAAACAAGTGTAACCAGTAAAATGTGCAACTGGGCTCAAACTGTATTACCAAAACAAACATTCTACAGTGTTACACACTTAATAATAATTTTAGAGAAGAAATAAGAAACAGATTTTTAATAAAATGTTATATATTTTTCAATAACTGTAAATTTTATTTCGCTTTGGATAAGTGTTCAAATAACTGATACAATTTCGCATGATCGAGTATTTACTTCGCTCAACAGACTCAGATAATAGTCAGGAATTGAATGTTTATGAAAAACCACATGCATATGTTAACAAAGCTTCAACAAGCTCAAACGCCTTTTTATCAGCTATATATGTTTCTACGGCCAGGCCAATCGGCATCATCAGAACTTGTGAATACAAGAGTTCGTGAGAGGAAAATACTCAAGGTATTTATAACTACGACATTGACCCATTGGAATGTTTGGGGGATAAGTAGAGCTGCGTCCGTAACAGTGTCAAGATATAGGGACAGAAAATATTCTAGCATAGTAACAGCATTCAATATATAGTCCGTCTTGACCAAGGTTTGTTTTTGCCAAATATTAAAAGCTCTTCAACCAAAGACAATATTGTTCTATCGTACGTTTTCTTTATTTCAATTTCTTACTTCCAAGTTTCTCTACAATTGGATTTTAAAACTGACCTGACGTCAATCATATTATTCTTTTATTCCCCTTCCCTTGCTCATATCACTTGCTACCTTTCTTTTTGTATGGTTCGCAAATCTCAGTACATTGTAGAACCGTTCATCTCGATCAGAACCGAACAATGTGCCATCAGCTGAATGAAATATTATTTTCGTGAGGCAAAATCCGTCAGAATTTCAACTCTCTTCTGAGATGGAATTATTTGCAAATTTTGGATTAGGATACCTCCTTTGTCCGGCTAAGCTGTCGAAGCGCCTTTAAATTAACATGACATTTCAGCAAGACAGTTCACGATGTTGAAACAAGTAGAGCCAAAAAGCCAACCCCATCTGCTTCAGAAAACAACGAATATACGAACAACTTTTACGGCATGTTAACCATCAAACTTTAAGTTGACATATGTCTTTAATTTCTGGAGGTTGAACTCTCTTAAAGCATTTAGACTTACAACTTGCATGCCACTGCAGCATTTCAATATGACAAACTCCCATTTAGAGGCATTACAGAATCCTAGTACTACACCTGAGGACGGATACTAAATATCAACGAAAATGTAAATACGACAACCTACATTGCATTACAAGACCACACGTTACAAAGGGAAGTACCAAAAAGTGTTTATGGCCTGGTAGTGTTAAAGGATATACATTGAGGGTTGCTTTTTTATCAGCCCTTATGAAATAAAAGGTTTTATTTTGATTGATCTTCCACACTAAGTGCAAGCCTTTCAATGTATAACGAGTAAAATAGATAATAAACAAATAATTTCATTAGGTACTTAAACTGTTTGACGTATTATAAAAATGTTCGCTAGAACTATTGTATTATTTGAAAACTGGAGGCGAATGGAGAAATTTTTCAAAAAGATAAGTCAAATCTTAGATTAACAAGACAACGAGGGAGGAAAATTCCGCAAAAACATACAACTGTACTGAATGGTATTTTTAATTAATTGTTGCAGTGTGTGCGAGGTAAAAACTTGCAATGGAGAAAAATGGGACGACTGAAAACTGAACTGAAAAGACAACAACAGACGCTACTGAAGCTTCAACTTCTATTTTAAGCATCGTAATGGAGTCATCGAGTCTCAATTCAACAATAATAGCAACTACCATGAGAGCTCCATCTATTGAGGACTTTTGAATACCAAATAGGAGGAAATATATGACACTAGTCGTAATTATATGTGGATTGATCGGCAACGTTCTATCACTTCGTGTACTGTAACAAATGGCCAAGAGTAACACTGTGAAAAAAGCCAAATATAGTTTGTACTATAGCAAACTATTTTTTAGAATAACCCCCATATAGTTTGAATTTCACCTAAAATATGGGCGAGAATAGTTTCTCCCATATTCCTAAAAACGGAACACTTTAATATAAGTCCTGATATACTCTCCGGTACGCCCATATAAACTAAAATAAGTTGCATATATCATTGCAGAGTGTATATCTTTACTGAACTATTTTCCACTTATACGCCTCAAAGTAGGAATCAAACCTACTATATGCGGTGAAAAACAACTTATATTAAATAAAAACAGACTATATCAAACTATACTTGACTTATTCTTCTCTTATTCTACCTCAAAACAAACTATACGCGTCTTATACGCGATATTACGTAATAACTTCAGTTCCAGAGTTTGTTTTAACAGATTAAAAGCAAAGTCCAGCATTGAATGTATTTTGTTATCAATGCTAATTAATACGCTTGTTCAGATTAATCTGGTCATTTCTATAACTGAGGGTTCTAATTTCCATCAAAAAGTCATTTAGAAATTAAGCTTTTTACTTTTACTAAATTGGACAATGAAGGTCGAATTATAATTAACACCGTGTTAAATTTTGGATTTATTTCATTAAGTCTGTGGAAAGTTACATTTTTCAATTCACTTGGTATTGAAGTAAAAATAATATACAATAAAATGTTTAGTATAGTTGCAATAAGAGGGAATCGTAGAGAATATTTTTTCCTGTATGGTAAGCAGTTATTTCCTGTATTATAGCGAAATAAGATATAATAACTATTTTTGAAAATTAATTTTTATTTAATAATATCAATCGTGTATTATTTGAAGGGAACAACATATAATGCTATATAATATAGAATAATATTCTAGTCAGGAGCAAATAATATGTTGGCATTTGCAATCAAAACCGGATTATATGAGTTTATTTTTGAGCCGTTTAATTAGTCCCTAAGTATTCAATTCCTATGAAATGAGTTTCATTCACACTAATTAATCCGTTTGTTAGGATTAATTTCTACAGCTGATGGTTCTTATTTCTCAAAAAATTATTTGCAAATTAAGTTTTTACATATTTGTTTGATTGAATAATGTCCCTCGAGTTATGATTAAGATTGTGTTAAATTTGGGATTCAATCGATCAATCCATTGGAAAGTTAATTTTTTATTCTTAATAAATGAGTTTTCCTCACATTTTTACTCTATTGTTTCTCTGTCACATCAGGTTTACAACAAACAACATTTAAATCCCCCTCTTATACAGGTACGAACAACCACCTGTACTCTTCACTTTGCCAACCAAAAACAGTCATGAAACGGAACTGCTTAATATTCAATTAATATATTACGCATTTTATACAAGCCCGTACCTAAGGACCCCCTTCCCCTGGCCAACAATTCTTTAAAGAAATGCAGTTTTTCACCATTCACATACATGTATTGACATGTCAGAGCAATGTTATTAGTAAAACTTTAATCCCTAAGTATTCAATTTCTATGAACTGAGTTTTGTTCACCCTGATAAATAATCTGTTTGTTAGAGTTAGTGGATTAATTTCTACAGCCTCCATGTATGGCTCTAATTTCCACAAAAAAAATACAAATTAAGTTCATTCAATCAATTAACTCATTGGGAAGTAATTTTCTGATTTTTAATTATGGGGTTTCCTCACAATTTAACTCCATTGTTTCTCTGTAACATTAAGTTTAATATAACACACAACATTTAAAGCCCTCTCTTACACAGACACAAACAAACACCACTATTCACTTCGCAAACCACACAAAACGTTTATAACACAAAATTGCAGCTCAATACATTACGCCTTTGATACAGGTCTGTGGCCATGGGGGAGGGTCGTGCAATACAATTGTTTCTTTTAGAATTGGACCATTTCTGTTTATAACAGCTGGTTTTATTAATCATTCTTTGTTTTCCGTTTCAATATATACATATACAAAAGGTGCAAGATTCGGTATGTTTAGTTGATAATGTAATAATGCAAATAAAGAAACGGGCGCATTTTACATTCATTGCAAATGTTTCATCTGACAAATTGATGATTATGTTTTGAGCAAATTGGTGCATGGAAGAACAAACTGATGCAAATAACAAACAGTATGGACATACAGATACATGTATGTCAGAGCAATATGATAAGTAAGACTTTAATCCCTAATTATTCAATTTCTATTAAATGAGTTTCGTTAACACTGATTACTAATCTGTTTGTTAGAGTCAATGGATTAATTTCCTACAGCCAACGATTCTAAGTTAAACAAAAAATAGTTTTGCAAATTAAGTTTTTTATATTTATTTGATTGTATATTATCCCCCATGTTATGATTAACATTGTGTTAAAATTTGGATTCAATCGATCAATTCATTGGAAAAATAATTTTTTAATTCTTAATTAATAAGTTTTCCTCACATGTTTACTCTATTGTTTCTCTGTCACATCAAGGTTACAATAAACAACATTTAAATCCCCCTCTTATATTACACAGGCACACCCACCTGTATTCACTTTGTCAGCCAAAAAACAGTCTTGACACAGAAATGCTCAATATTCAGCTAAATACATTACGCATTTATACAGACCCGTACCTAGCGACCCCCTCCCCTTGGCCAACAATTCTTTCAAGATCATGCAGTTTTTCACCATCTCGTACATGTATTGACATGTCAGAGCAATATAAATAAAACTTTAATCCCCAAGTATTTAATTTCTATGACATGAGTTTTGTTCACTGATAACTAATCCGTTTGTTAAGAATTAAAGGATTAATATTTACAGCCGATGGTTCTGATTTCCACAGAAAAATAATTTGCAAATTAAGTTTTTCTAATTTATTTGATTCTTTAGTGTCCTTCTTGCTATGATTAATAATGTGTTAAAATTTGGAATTAATCGATTAACTCATTGAAAAATGAATTTTTTGATTTTTAATGAATGACTTTTCTTCACCTTTAATCCACAGTTATTACCCAAATGTTGAAAGAAACAGTGAAAGGTTAAACTAGGCTCATAAGTATGTTTCAATTTGAATCATAGTATGTGATGTGCTCCAGGTACATCAATATATTAAAAAGTTCAATTTGGCGCATTAGTATAGTTCAATTTGGCGCATTATATATGATGTTCAAAGTACATCCTTACAGTGAAAGATTAAACTTGGCTCATGAGTATGTTTCAATTTGGTGCATAGTATGTCATGTGCTCCAAATACATCAGTATTTTAAAAAGTTCAATTTGGCGCGTTAGTATAGACCAATTTGGCGCGCTTTTTATTATGTTCAAAGGTCATCCTTGTATTGAAAGGTTAAACGTGGCTTATGATTATGTTTCAATTTGGAAATAGTCTTTGACATGCTCTAAGTTCATCAGTATATTAAAAAGTTCAATTTGGCGCACGCATTGGTATAGTTCAATTTGGCGCGTTATTTATGATGTTCAAAATACATCATTATATTGAAAGGTTAAACTTGGCTCGTGAGTATGTTTCAATTTAAGACATAGTATGTCATATGCTCTAAGTTCGTCAGTATATTAAAAAGTTCAATTTGGCGCATTATCATAGTTCAATTTGGCGCGTTATTTATGATGTTCAAAGTACATCCTTACATTGAAAGGTTAAACTTGGCTCATGAGTATGTTTCAATGGGACATAGAATGTGATGTGCTCCAAGTTCATCAGTATAATAAAAAGTTCAATTTGACGCATTATCATAGTTCAATTTGGCGCGTTATTTATGATGTTCAAAGTACATCCTTACATTGAAAGGTTAAACTTGGCTCATGAGTATGTTTCAACGGGACATAGTATGTGATGTGCTCTAACTTCATCAGTATATTAAAAAGTTCAATTTGGCGCATTATCATTGTTCAATTTGGCGCTTTATTTATGATGTTCAAAGTACATCCTTACATTGAAAGGTTAAACTTAGTATATTAAAAAGTTCAATTTGGCGCGTTATTTATGATGTTCAAAGTACATCCTTACATTGAAAGGTTAAACTTGGCTCATGAGTATGTTTCAATGGGACATAGAATGTGATGTGCTCCAAGTTCATCAGTATAATAAAAAGTTTAATTTGGCGCATTATCATAGTTCAATTTGGCGCGTTATTTATGATGTTCAAAGTACATCCTTACATTGAAAGGTTAAACTTAGCTCATGAGTATGTTTCAATGGGACATAGTATGTGATGTGCTCAAAGTTCATCAGTATATTAAAAAGTTCAATTTGGCGCATTAGTATAGTTCAATTTGGCGCATTATTTATGATGTTCAAAGTACATCCTTACAATGAAAGGTGAAACTTGGCTCATGAATATGTTTGAATTT